ATGAAACTAGACTAAATACAGTCAGGTTTCTTATTAAATCCTTTCAGCAGAGGTATTTTCTAGTATTTTAAAAACCTTTGCCTCTGGGGAAAAATGTTTTCTGTTTTTGTTTAATTAAGTCAAAAAAACTTGCCGTACAAAAATAGGAAAGCATTTCTTTGTCATAGGTATTAAAAAATGCAATATGTAGTGTTATTTTTTTAGGTTTTTGTAACACTGAAATATTTTCATCGTCCATGAAAATGAAATGATCACAATACTTTAATTTGGTTTAGCAGTTCAGTGTTGGTTCTTTCTCTCTATAGTTGGCCTACGGGTCTACTGAGGGGACACAACGCGCCAATCAGTTTCTTGTGCCTCTGCAGTGAAGAGAATAGGCTCTATTCGGTGTCCACAGACAACAATGTTATGGTAAGGTTTCCTAACGTTCACCATACTGAGATGTCAATAGTTGTGAATTATTAGAATATGTTTTCAATTTAATTATCTTGTTAAGAGCTTTGGATGTGGCTTTAGAGTCAGTGATTCATTGTATTTTTAATAATTTTAAATCTACAATATTGGTTTAAAACAATTTGCCACTCCAGTGTCCTTTATAAAGTTTTGGTTTTCTTGGCCTCAAAGTAGGCGATATTTCTTTTGAGTTTCCAACAAAATGTACACCTATTTATGACCATGTTTATACTGCAGTCCACTGAGGTTTTATATACTGTGTCTCCCTCATAGGACAGATCACTGAACCCTGATTCACATATTTCTTGACATGCATTGTTACAGTGATTTTATCCCATGTTCCCAATTTTATTGTGAAACATTGTGTTCTCAGGTGTGGAGCGTGGAAGATCAGACCTGCCTTGCCAACATCATCTCCAGAGCCAGTCATATCAGAGGAGAGCTCGCCACCTGCTATTTCTCTCCCCAGCAGAGGGCGCTGTTCATTGCCACAGACACCTTGGCCCTGTTGCAGCTCAGGCAAAAGTATTTTAGTTTTCACAGATACCAGACTTCTTCATTGTTTATGTTTGCAGCATGTAAGGCTGTATTTATATTAATATTTCTGCTACAGTCTAGAATCCATTTTAACGGTACATCAAAGTACAGCTATTTTTGAGTTACTGAAAGGCATTTGTTAAAGTAGGTAATTGCACAGGATTATTTCATATATGACAAGTTTTGGTGTTGCACTTCAGAGTACTACATTGCAAAAAAAAAAAAGATTCTAAATACTTTCATAGACTTTTTTGTGCAGGTTCCTTTTCAGCCTTCATTTTACTGTAAAGCCTTGCAAAAGGCTACTAGCCAATTTATCTGTAGAGTGTAAATGTGACAGCAAATGTTAGCTGTCTAAAGGGAATGCCTTATGATCTGATGTTTTCAAAGAATCAAGAGAGACTAAGGAAAGCAGTATCGAGAGAGCCATTAGAGAACTGTGATCCTTTACCATTTGTTTTGAACTATAGTTTGAACTGTTATAGAACAAAGGTTTTTTACAATTTCAGGAAAGCAAACTATGATGGAATGAGACCTAGTTTAAGTGAAGTATAATGGTACAGGACAGAAAGGAAATCCTTAAAGAACAGATGGCCACATTTTAAATCCAAAGTTAGAAAGCAGTGGACAAAATGGCTTAAAAAGTCAATTAAAAATATAGAAAAAAAAGTGCTTATAGCATGCTTATAGTACTCACCCACTTATCAATAATGGTCTATTCTGTAATTTGTAAAGTGAATATTTTTAATCAAAGTAAATCCAGGTATATTTGTTAAGGTTTTGTTAGGAGATGGTAAAAAATAGCCAGGATGAAACCAGGCATGTTTTGGCACTGCAACACAGACATTTCCTTATCAAGACACTCCATAATACATTTTCCTTCTGCTGTGTCAAAACAGCTTTTCACAAGTTTTGAGATGTGGACATACTGTTGTTATAGGATTGGACAATGATTTCTTCAGAGTTTGACGGGTATTTCTAATTCTGTGAGACTAATAAATTTAACCAGTTTCCATGTTACTTAGTAGCCTCTGAGAAATCAACTTTCATGGTTAGCAAGGACATTAGAGTTAGTTCGTTAGTTCATGGAAAAAAGAAATTGATACACACATGTTCAGGCAAATCTGATATTTTCTCTATATTTAAGCAAAAATAGATCTAACAGATTTTAAGTTTTCACAGTCCAGCTGTTTCTAGATTGGTACAGTATTGAAGTGTGGTTACTGCAATTCTCTTTAAACCTTAGTCTTACAGTTTCCTTCATTAACAACTCTGTTTTGGAACTTGACCCACATTAGTGACTGCTCCCTTGTTACCATGGTGACCCATTTACTACCTTATTATTGTTTAACATACATATTCAGCACACTTTAGCCTGTCTGAGGAGAAAAGTAGTGCAGGTAAAGTACTGTACTGCTTGGCAAGTAATAATCATCCACAGCATTCAGAATTCTAGCTATTCTTCTTGTCTCTTAATGCCTTAAAATGCTGAATGTTTGAACAGAGTTTAATTTCCTGTTTTTTTGACTGATGTGACCTATGCCCACACATCTTTTATTTTCCAGTTACTGATACAGTAGTGCTTTGCGACTTTGAGTAGACTAATTCAGGAAGTTCAAGTAAAGTCAATAAAGCAGGGCAAAAAATAAGTAATCAAAAAAATTAAACTGAACTATTAACTCAAAAACGATTAGATTTTTTTTAAACATATACCTTTTTTATGTAGAACCTAACAGATCTAAAGGGTTGTACAAGAATTCATACTTGGATCACTACACTCACAATATTTTCTCAATACACTGCTCTCAGCAAAACGGAATGTGGCTTGTTTGTGATTTGAATTCTCACTAACTCTTCGTTTTTTCAGCTTTCTGTTTTTTCCCCTAGAGAGCTAACATTTGAACTCGGAAGAATTTTCCTTCACATGCTTGAAGCATGAAGTTATATGAAATGAATTCATATGTAGTGGACTGACAGCCCTTGTGTGTGTTTTCCCATAGAGACCCAAAGAACGGCAGCTCCTTTACCTCCCACAATGCTACAGTACTGTGCTGCCAATACAACACCCGCCTACAGCAAGTCATCAGCTGCTCCGAGGGCTCTGTAAGTACTAGTGCTATCCAATATCTACATCTATCCATTATCACCCATCAAGTTGACATGCTATTTGTCATTTGATGCTATTTGATAGGTATTTTAAAAAAGTAATGAATATATTTCCAGAAATATATATGTTTCTGAATCTAGCAATTCAGCAAACTGGAACGTGGAATCACAACATGTTGGATTAAAATGTCATTCAAATTATGGCTTTACCAAAATCCTCCTGCAGAATGCGATTTTATTTCCAGGAGCTAAAGCTGGCCCATTTGACTTTGTTTGATAGGTGGCATGGTGGTACTCTTCTTATGCTGTGCTTTTTATTTTCAGGTTGTGAAAATATGGGACCTGAACACAGGCGCTCCAGTATCCACATTTGATTGTCCCCATGAAAGGTCTGCTGTGACCTGCATGACTCTGGACAACAGTGGAAACAGGTAGAGGAGCATTATTCCCAGTACAAAGTGACTATATCTTTAATATTGCAGCACATGATAGGCTATAGAGGTTATATAGTATATATGAATGCCCACACACCCATGATGTACATACAGTACTGTACATTACTGAGTGCTTTTCTAGTTCCTCAGTCGAAGGAAGTTTAACACCACAGCTGTGCTTTAAATCAGGTTCATCACTGGAGGCAGAGATGGCTCACTGAGAAAATGGGACTACAGCACTGGGGGTTGTGTGTCCATCATCAGACAAGGTATCCTTTCAGGAACAACACTGTCCTCATTGCACTTTTCTTGCCATATTGTTTTAACTGGTGATAAATGATCTGTGGAGGAAAAGCAAATTCTTTCTAATGAATAAGTCTCTCTAATAGAATGAAAATCCAAAAATCCAAAATTTTTAGAATTTTTTTTTTGAAGAATAGCCTAGATGTTTGCCTACATCATGGTCAGGAAGGATTATGCAACTTTTTGTATGTGATTAAGTAAGAATAACATCTGTTCAGCGGTACTATGCAAATTAAAAAATATGATGTTATACTATGCACATTTTTCACATATATGTGAAAACAGTCTGATTCCCTTTCCAAAAGACCTCTTAGTAGTAGACTCTGTCGTAGTCTTGGAGAATAGAAAATGGATGTAAGGTTCAACACAGGAAAACGGACAGTGAGACCACAAGAAGCCAAGGAAGAGTTAAAGAGTTTGTCATTAGATTTATCTGCTCTAAGTCACTTGTGTTTTCCAGGTACAGATGTGTCTGATGAAGCAAACAGATGTATTCAGGTTGATATTCACAGCAACAGGTATGACACAAATAAAGAGATTTCATGTCTTCATAATGTAAAAATAAACATTTGACCATATCAATTATTTTACAGAGCACAGTATTTATTGATTCCTTCCTGATATGTTATGCTGGGTTCACATTAATGCTACAGTACATAGAACACAGTGTCAAATAAGAGAATTAGGATCTCTTCACTTTAGAAGCCTCCAGTATTATTCATGCCCTTAACAAAACATAAGCAAAAACTGATGTAGCAAAAAAAACAACGCAGGAATGTGTCAGTGGGAATTCCAAGATTAATACAATGGTTTCAACCCCATCATTACCTTAACGCGTGATTAGTGGTTTGGGTCGCTAACACACAGCCAAGGCCAGCAATTGTGAACGTTCAACAGACTCCGATATCACCAGGATACAATGTCTCCAAGACGACGACTTGAGGCTGACCTTATGAATCCAGGATATCTGGTTCAATGTCAGCATAAACAACCAGACATGGATTTGCCAAAATTTCGGTGCTTTGGTGAGATTTTGGGGTTAGAGTTAGAAATAAGGAAAGAAGAGGTCTGGGACTGGTGCTGGGTTGCAGCTGAAGATGAGGATTGAGTTGGTGCTTCATTGCTTTGGCTTGTGTCAATGAGGGATATGGATGTTTCTTCTTTTTGGGGATAGGTAATGGGATCAAATATGATGTTAGTAGTCTTTCCCTGAGAAGACTTTCATGAGGCAAGACAGATGTTCCACTGCTAATAACCGTGAAAGGAGTGAGGGATGTTATTACATATGCATTCAATTATTAATTTTCCTTTTTTTTACTTTTAAAAGATATATAATATCTGTTGGCTGTGACAAATGGATCAGTATTTTTCCTGTAAGTAAGCATTAACAAATTGTGGTTGAGAAAGAAAAACTGTCTTAATATTGATGTTCTTTTGATCTTTCTTTATATACATTCCTTACAAAATTGTACTACAAAATACATTATTCATACTTCATCATGGAACAAGATATCACTCATTATCTTTACACCACAAACAAACTTCCATCTAACAGACTTTATTTATCTTTTTAAACATTCAGTACATATTAAAGTGTTCTCTGAAGTCAGCGAAAGTCAACAGTAGCTGTTGTTGTCTCACGTGCTATGTTGTGCCCCCTTTACTTCAATGCTGAGAAAAGGCCCAGTCTCTTGACTAGTGTCTGTAGTCGTGGCAACACTTTCATGTTTTTTTAACTAGGCCTTGACTGCATCAGGTTGTGAGTGTTTTCCTCTTATAGTTGCTGTCACCACTGTTTCTAGGATCCTGAGGATGGTTGCAAGGGTGTACAGAACATAGGAAAACAGTGGCTTGGCCAAGAGGTGAGTTACTGGCTTCTCCTCTACCACTACTCTAAGGATGATGTAACTGACTCATCCTTAACCGTGAGGGTTAAGTCACAGCATGAAACGAGTGAACAGCAGTTGGCAGAAGCATAACCGCCTTGAATCCTGATAGTGTTAGGTCTCTGAAGCTAAACAAAGCTGGTTCTGGTGAGACCTGGCATGGGAAAAAAAGAATCTGGTTGATGCTGTATGTGGTGACCAGTAGTTGGGCCGAGTAGGTGACACTGACTCTTCTCTCTGGACCAGAGTTTCCAAACAAATGACCCAGTTCAGTGACTGGGAACACTGTACTATAAGAGGCACCAGCCTTTGGATGAGAAGTTAAACAAAGGGCCTGAGTATTTGGTGATTTAGATTCCCTTTTAATTCTGTCAGTAAAGCAACTCCTCACTTCTCAACTGGATTTGCTCTGTAGTGGGGCTGCTGGTACACTTCGCCCATGTGGATGGTGGATACAGTGGGCCCCCATCAAAATACAGTATAAAGTGCTATGGGGACCTCATACAATGAATAATTTACTCCTATTAAGTAAATCACACCAGACCCCCTTGACGTAGTGACAAAGTGCCCTATGTCTTAGAAGATTCTTTTCTTGATCTGGGACTTACAAAGAGCACCATCCATGACTATGATGGCTTTTTAAGAGCATGTAATTGCTATGAATTATGTATGTTTTTTTATCAATATTATGAATATTGATAAGCTGTTGCCATACCACTGCGCATGGGAGACCTCACACAACATCCAATTCTGCCTTCTGTGTATATAAAATCTAGGATAGCAAATTATTATTATGTGGCAGCTTAAGAAGGACGTGCCACCAGAGGCCGCTAGCTCTAAATACGTACATATAAGTAGCCATGCTGGGGTGATTCTCTTTATTTTTGGATAATGCGTAAATGGTTTAGAATTGTTTGGTATTTTGAAGGATTTGCATGGTGCTTGTGGGGTGGGGTTTTCTCTGTTTGTTAACGTTTTGGTATTTTAGCTCAGAAAGGATGACAATAAAGACTTGTGGACTTCACCTCTCCAGATATGTTGGGTTTTTGTATTCATATGCCCTTGAATCCATCCTGGTTGAGGTTTGGTTCTGTCCCATATTTTTATATTTATGAATATTATTCTGTTCAGCATGATATACCTAAGTTGTACTATAAAATGAAATGGATGTATATTAGCAGCTTGGAGAAGGAACACCCTCCTTCTATATTACAAATATAAAATATCACAGCATTCATACCCAAACACATAGTGACTGTATGATTTAAAAAAAATTCAATAACCTTGTTTTTTGGTGAGTTAAAATAAAATACTACAGGAATTCTAACAGTAATGAAAAAAGGGACTTGAAAGGAATGAAGTGCTTGGATTCTGACAGAATTAATGTTACATCCAGAGTCTGTGAGATGTGTTTTCTGCTGTGACTGTTTTTATACTTCCTTGGAACCTCTTAGATAAATCTGCAAATCTGGCATTTTAGTGAAAAACTACTTTCCATTGCTTGCCATTTATTTTTGATTAAATACATGATTTTTGATTGAAATGATTAAATAGCAGTTCAGTATGGTGGCACAGTGGTTTGTGTGCCTGCCTTGCAGTACTGGGGCTCTGGGTTCAATTGCTGACCTGGGGTGCAATCTGCTTGGAGTTTGTATGTTCTTTCCCAAGCTCATGTAGGTTTCACCAGGTACTTTGGTTTCCTCCTATAGTCTAAAAACATACTGCTAGATTAACTGGCCCTGGTGTGAGGGTGTGGGTGTGTGCCTTGTGATGGACTGGTGTCCTATCCAGGGTGTATCCCATCTTGCTTCTGTTGCTTGCTGGGATAGGTTCCAGCTTCCCCGCGACTCTCGACTTGATATAAGTATTTCAACAAAAGATGCATTGATAATAAAAGAGCTGTGCAACAATGCTTTAGTTGGTGGAACAAAGATATTTCACATCTGTTGTTAACCTCATACGATACACACCACCTCACAGAAGAGCTCTGTGCCTGTTTCACCACAGTCTTTCCGCCACCATGAGGACATTGTGTCCGTTGACCTCTGGCCCCCCAATCTCCTAGCCACCTCCAGCTGTGGGGCAGAAGTGCTGGTGTGGAACCTGGTCTCTGGGAGTCTGTTCTGCCAGCTGGGCTCCCTGCCCAGCCCCCTGCCTTCCGAGCCCTCAGGTGCAGTATGTGTCTGTAACTGGGCCTCTTCCCACTTCCCCAGAGGAGAGCAGTGCAAGGAGGCAGAGATTCTGTGAGACTATGAAGGCTCAGAGAAAGATCACATCTGTAACAGATGTTGTAGTGTAAAACACGCATTTGAACCTGTGAAGGAACACTGAACTTCAGGCTGGCTAATAAGCCTTGAATTACTCTGTTTTACATCAGTCTAAGTCAGTGTGTTCATAATATTTCAGTGTGTTAATAGTGATTTTAGGCTGTTCCTTTGCAATAGTTGTAGGATAGTTATTAAGTCAGAAAAGGGGCTGTACCGCTGTACCATAATAATTTAGTAATGTAGTAAGGTCTTTATTCTCCCATTTGAAAATCTTTTTGTCCAAAACATGAACTCAGCAATCCAAGGCCTTTAATTTAAATAGTATGTTTAAGGTGCAGGTAAGAAGTTTAAATGCTTGGGAATGAATGATTCTTAGCAGCAAAGAGGGGCCAACATTTTTTACAGTACTCAGACAGCACTTCCGATTAAAAACTGCCTGTCTTTGATTCTAGATGAAGATCTAAATGTTTGCAAAGTTCTCTTCATCCCCTCACGAGCTCCTCTACAGAAAACTGCTGCTATCCTGGTGACCAGTGGCCCTGGAGGTACACCTTCTAAATCTCATGGGGCTTTGTAATCTACAGCTCTGGGGCAGCATATTGTAGTTTGGATACGGACAAAAGCATCTCTCAAACCCGTAAATAAAAATTGAACCCTCTGGTATAGCCAGAGCACCTGGTTGGAAACACTTGTGCATTTGCTTCATGTCCGTGAATTGCAATGAAAGTTGTATCTTCGCATTAATCATAACTGCTTCTATGAGAAGACATAGATTTTGGCAGAGTCGAGGTAGAAAAACATACAGTAACTGAATATATTGTACATTTCCTATATAGAGGGTGCAAATCTACGATCAGCCCAAATACAGTAATTAAGAGATGGCTCCCAGTCTGACTTTAGTGATAAATGTATGCAACTTGCATGCTCCAATGTGTTTTAGGTATTCTACTGATAAACGTGGAAAAATATGAGAAATTAGGGCATTGCCATTTGATTTCCTGGAAATGGATTGTTGTTTCTTGCAGGTTGTATTCATCTTTGGAATATATTTGGTGGTGGAAGACTCTTTGGAAAATTTAGTGGAGTAAGTGTAATTTACATCATCTATCTGTTCTTTCTTGTGTAGCACCATTCTTTCAAAAGGCCCCGAATTACTTTAAAGGTAGGAAGGGACTGTTCCTCCACCAGTGCTGTACAGAGCCCACTGGGGTGTGTAAGAGCATCTACAGCACACTGCGGTAAGTGGTTAGCTTAGCTTGAGTTAGCCTGAACTGAAATGCAGTTACCTCTAACGCAATGGGACCCTGAATAATGAGCATACAGGAAGTCAGAGTAATATCTCATCTAAAAGAGAGGACACTTCCTACAACACAATATCCCCTGTAAAGTCTACTGAACATCAAGAGAAACGTATCACTCTGTTTGTGAATGAGTACATTGGCAAAAATTAATCATTTTCATGAATTGGTCTTTCACTGCTTGTGACATTCTTGGGTGACCCTGACTTTTCCATAAGCACTTCCTTACCTGATTAGTAAGAGAGATGATTGGGGGGAAAAGGGGATGAGGTCGTTTAGTCCGTTGAATGTCAAGAATCTTGACTCTCTGTATTATTGCTAAAAATATATATTTCTTGTGAATGTAAGAATTTTTTTTGTCTAATAAAGAGACAGAGAACAGATTTATTCTACTGGTATGTTGAAGGCTGGACTAAGCCAGCCTACAGTTGCTTTCTGTCAGAGGAGTTCACAGCTAGTAATTGCTAACCTGGAAAGACACTGCAACCAAATACAGTCTATCAGTGATGGCCAAGGTGTGGAGGAACACATCTGATGACTTTGCCAAGATCAATGGGAAAGTCCAAGTGTGGTGGTCTTGGCAGGAGTGTCTGGTCAGTACAGAATGACAATAATCAAGTCCTGGGACCTCAGTGGCTTTGTGTCATGTAGGCTCATCCCAATCTGGCAACATTCCAGCAGTACAGCACTTGTGTAACAGCAGCTTTCTTACAAGATATGAATATTGTAACGCAACGGGGGCTCAGGCGGGCGCCCTTGCCGCATCTGGTCGGCCCCATCCCGACTGGAGGCTCGAACCCGGGACTTCCGCGTCTCTCTGCAGCGACCCAGCCCCGTGAGCTAAAGAGAGATCTCTCCACAGCCCAGTAGCTGTGGTCCTGCTATCACAGGGAAGGGCGGTGACGTCACCCGCTCTGGTACGCCGGCTCTTACACACAGTGCTTGTCGGCCGTAAGCGTTACAATATGATAGTTACTGTAATGCTGTGTATTCCTTTCTCGCCAGTCCTGAGCCCTATTGAACATTTACGTCACAAACGGGGATAATATATGGCATTTAGCTGTCAGAGACCAGAGAACAGACACATGCTTGTCCGGGCTCTACAAAAGAAATGGAACAGAATCCAACAAGACAGTGTCTCCAATTTGGTGTAAAGCATGCATCACAGATGTACAGCTTATTGCTTCCAACATTGGCCATACAAACTACGAGCCCATGGCTTTCACAGTAAATGCCTGTTTGAGTAGCTCTGTTGATGACAACTGTTAATCAGCATTATGAATTTACCTACTGTACGTCATGTCAGCTCAGTAAAATGCCAGGGCACCGGGCATCTCGCATGTTGCTGATAACTTTGTGAATTTATCGCAGTCATAAATTATAAGTTTATTGTGTTGCTCATCAGTATGTAGATGGTTCTTTACTGTGTACCTGTAAGATGTCTGCTTCCAAGAAAGAAAAATAATAGTAACACTAAGGAATCACAAGTCTTGTGTAATATATACAGTGTACTGCACAACAGTACATGTAAACTGACAAGCATTGTGGTACTAAGTACGAATCTAACTGCAGGTTTCTATGAGTTGTTTTCTCTCTTGTGTTGTATGAAACGGATGTCAGTCCTTCCTTGAAAGGTTTCAGTGACTCAGAAGTGATGAAAGGTTGTGCTACAATGTGTGCCCTCTCACTTCGCTGCCCTGCCAGTCAGCCCAGAGGGAGAGGAGACTGCCCCATGAAACTGTTCCCCCATGCCTCCCGGGTGGTACAGCACTTCAGTCTCTCTGTTCGCCAGAGAGCAGCCCACTGGAGTGCTGTTCACTGGCACGGTCGCTGGCAGAGCTTGTGTTGGAATCTGTGTCACATCTCTCCAGGGGGGAGGCTGTGCTGAGCAGGGCTGCCTTTTGTAGGTTAATTTAAAATATATTTATCCACAGCCTCCCAGCATGCTGAAGAGTTTCATGTGGAGTAGGGCTCTGTTCAGGGCACAGTTTGCATTTCCCTCTTACAGAGAAAAAAAGAAAGGACAAAAAGAGAAAGCACACCACTGAGACTGATGTAAGGCTTTTCTTTTTTTCCAAGTTTCAAATAGGTCTCTGAGAATAAGTGCTCTTCCAGCACTTTCTCATTCATTGCTTTGTTCTCAGTGTTCTGTGACAAAACTCTGCAGTGCTTGGTGGTGCTTGTGCTCTGTGGGTGTCTAAAACCTGGTTGGAGTTCCTCATGAAATTTTCATCTGGTAGAATCTGAGAGGCAGATTCTACTTATTAAAATACATGAATTCAAGAACAGAAGGAAAGTATTTGTTTACCTACTTGTTTATGTTCATGTCAAATTCTTCTTGAACAAAGGAAACACAAAACCTTTACAAAGAAACAGACCTGCTGAAGAATTCTCTTGTGCTTGAGAAGAAACACATTTTTGTTGATCATTAAGGCAACCACTGAAGTGAAGTGCAGTGTATCGACTTAAATATCCTTTAAATCCTTTCAAAGATCTACTGCAGGTCATCCAATCCATGACGTTGTCAAAGTTCAATGGTGACAACAAAATGTTCCTCTTATATATACTGTATGCATGGTGCTTTTTCAATTTTGTTTTTGTAAATTAACTAAATTTTTAAAGCCATACTGTATTGAACAAGAGCTGACTGCACTGTGGAGAGCAGAAAGGCCACGTAGAAGAAAGAGAATCTGTCTTTGTGTTTCAGTATTATGAAAAATGTCCATATTCTTTACATCTATGATTTCTGTCGTCCCGAGCAACAGGCTGGGCTCCCATAGATTTTTCCTAGCACTGAGTTTTTTCTTACAGACCTTTATCTCGCTGTGTCATTACTCCATTTAGTGACTGGATATGTGTATGTTGTGTGTCTGCCCAGTCTCCACAGCAGGCCACTGTCACCGACCTGGCCCTGGGGAAAGGAGACACATTGCTGCTGTCTGCGGACCAGCTGGGATGGCTGCGCATCTGGGACATTGCAGGCTTTGCACAGCATGGGCCTGAGACCACTGACCCCACCTGTAAGAATCGCCAGTACAGTCTTCTGACTCAGCCATTTCACTTTACTTCCTTTCTAAAACTAAGCAAGGTGTCTATGCTTCAGTTTACAAACGAGACCACTTTCATTTTAGGCTTCTAATAAAATAATGTGTGGAATGCAATTTGTTTTTAAATCTAAGTTTGTAAAAGGTGTTTGTTTTAATTGTCATGTTCAATATCCATTCTAAGAATTCACAGTTAACACTGATTTTCTTTTTCAGCAGTGCTGCCGCTTTGATTTAGATTTAATTATGTTATAACAGACAGTGACCATCATTTCTGTGTTTTTCTGCTATGGGACTGCAGACATCAATATTATTTATTAATGGACCTGCGGGGCTATAGTCTCAAAGGTCTTATGGGTACCTAATAACCCTCAGTGAGTCAAGACCTGGAAACAGTGCTAATATTGACCAAATAAGCGAATAATGGATTCACATAAAAACCAGAAAGCACAGTGGCCAGGACTGGGAGTGAATATTAGTAGCTTTGCAAATGCCCTTCTCCTGTTTGACATACTTGTACAGTGTTAACAAAGTTTTACATTAAGGCTGAAGATATTGATTTGATGATGAGCAGGTACAATAAAATGACAATGAAGGCATTTATGAGACACACGGAGTCAAATAAAATGCATTCAGTCAGTGTTCTGTAGGAGTGCAGGCGTCTGGGGCTGTCATTCACCATCCTTAACACTTTGGCCATTCCCAGTCAATGAGATTCAACTTTGGATGAAGCCTTTCAAAATGGAATACATGACATTGTTTCAAGGCTGCTCCACAGAAACATTTAACGGAAATCATTTTCATAGAATAGTCTCCTGGGGCTGCATCAAGCTTTGGGGATGCGTTTTGTGGAATCTCAGCGCAGGGTGCACAATAATAGGCTCGAAATTATTTTGTATCCCCTCCCAGGCTTAGTTTATAGAGACAATTCACACTAGTTGTGTTTTTAAATACTGTAGTTAATGAAGTGAAACCTTAGTAGGAAATTTTGCAAGGGATTAGCTCTTGGGTGTTTCCATAAAGTACCGGTATATTTCTTTCTTCACAGTGCTGTGCAATTGGAGAGCACATGCCTGCAGCATTACAAGGTAAACCAACACTTACCCATAAATATGCACTAATGAAGTACTGTTCACAAGAGTAAAGAATGTATTTTTAGAATTATTTTTTGTGAATCACAAATGTAAAATCTAATTTTCTGTTCCAGGTAAAATTCTTACAAAAATGAAAAACACAAGCTCCTTTTTTAAGATATTAACTATCTTAAAATTATCCTATTTTAAACTAACTAGCCTAAAAAAAAACTATCCTATTTTTACGATGGGAATTAATCTCTATAAAGAGATTACTATCATAGTGAGGAGGATTTCGAATACAGAAATCGTGTACTGTGCGTATTGTTTGTGTAGAATTGTTTGTTTGTGTCTAAATTAAGAAAGAGCTACCTTTTTAGAAGAGGAGTTGAGCTGCACAGGTACAATGGCACAGTGAAGAGAAGATACCCAGACTCTGGGAGAAGATTTATGATAATTTATTTAGATTTATGCGACCTTGGTTAAGTCAATCAGTTTAATCCTTTCAGCATAACACCAAAGAAGCAATTATTTGAATTAAAGAGAAAACATCAAATATTTCTTTACATATCCCACTTGAATTCCTTGATTGAATTAACTTTTTTCTGGACTGACTTATTTTACAATAAGCATTCTGTAAAAATTTATGAAGCATTTAGTTTGACTTTCAAATATTAGCTTTACACAGGGGCCTTATTTTCTGGCATTCAAGGTTTGTGCATAGATTCTGGAAGATGAGCAGGACTGAGCTTTGTTAGTACTTAAACGAAAGTGTAATGATACCATCTGACAACAAATTACATCGCACTTTCTTGCAAAGTCTGACATTTCACAGCATTTTTGCAGAACAGCAAACATTTCACGTCCCTGAGCTTTCTGAAGCCGGTTTTCCATTTTTGTCTCAACAGCGTTGTGTGTGTCCCTGAGCAGCAGCTGGCGGTCACCTCTGCCAAGGACTGTCTGCTCAGGCTGTGGAGCCACCAGGGGGAGCTGATAGGTACAGTACCATGTGCCCTGGCCTGGAAACCATGGCAACACCTCAGGGAGTGGAAGGACCCTCACGTGAACTGGGCCTGCTCCCCCAAACTTTCCATCAGTGTTTGGGAAAAAAACAGCAAACAGCTTTCTTAATACATTCCAAGCTCATGCTGGTAATGGCAGTGAGTGGTGAGGTGCTAACAATTGATGGTACAAACATTAGTGGCAGTGCCCAGATATGACTAAAAGTGTTAAAAAATATGGGAAGGGAACAGCAGCACAACGGCAACAGGATTGACTGTTTATCATCACTGTCTGATGGAATTTGACAGTAATGAGGTACCATTTCTCAATATACTACAAGTGTCACATTTAGCTCTGTCTGGTGTGAAGAAGAAGATCAGAATAATTCAGCACCACAGACAGCTCTCAGCAAAACTACACTACAGCCCTGAAAATCAGTTTTCTGGGCAGCAATCAAATGTCTGTTTGTGGGGATGTTACACATGCATATCTGGGAACTGTAATTGGTCAGACAAGACCGTAAAAATGACTGACCATGTACTCTGAGAAGAGGCCATTTTGCACATCTAGTCAGTTTGGTCATTTGGGCCTAATTGAGCTAATGAAATCATCCGTTTTTTTCCTCAAAGACGCCCTGATATCAACTTCAATGGGTAGGGTGTTCCATACTCCCACAACTCTTTTGGTAAAGAGGTGCCTTGTGTTCTTAGCTTTAAATGCAGTTTGTCATGTGGTTTTACTATTGTTTGCGAAATTGGCAAGGTTGACTTTGCAAAACTTTGAGGATTTGAAATACTTGTATGGTGCCCCCCCTTGCAGTCTTCTGTGTTCAAGGTTAAAAGTTTCAGCCTTTTCAGCCTAAAGGCAATGTAATAAGTATTACGCAAGAAGCCAGGAGGTGTAAATCACAAATTCCACCCACCACTGCAGCCTGTGCACTGCAGGTGCTGACTTCCAGACCGGTTTACTTGTTTCTCATACTGTTTTGCCCCTTAGTGCACTATCACCACACATCACGCATTCTTTGTGAATCCTGTTTGAATCAAATTGGTAAATCGTGCATTTCAAGTCTGACCAAATGTTTCTATGTTAGTCAAAAATGACTTTGTGCTTCTTGTTCTTTTTCAAAATCTCTTGTTTATAATGTAAAGAGCCCAAAGTGTGTCCCGTCGTCTAGTTCAGGTCTGTCTCCATGCTGGTTGGACTGCAGGTACATTTGGCCAGGAGGAGCACTGGGATGTGAGGAAAAAGGAGACTTGGAGACAGGAGCTGCCTGAGGACCTGAGGGTGCTCACAGAGGAGCCTGTCCTACAGGGGGCGCTGAGGAGCAGGCCTCCCAGCGACACTGGCATTCACACAGAGGTGCTGCGCTGGGCATGGGGCTGGGGGAGAGGTGGGCCACTACACTCTGGTTAGGTGCCTGATTGCCTCTAGCCAGCATGGGAATCTGATATATTGAGACAAATAGATGTTCAGTCACAGTGAATCTTTCACTGTGAGACAGTGAATCTTTCAGAGTCAGAAGGTCTTCTGATTCTCTTTCCATATGCTCTCTTAATTTGTTAGTTGAATAATTATTCATCTTACTAAACAGTTTTTTTTAGGTCCGAGGCAAGCATTCAAGAAAACGTGCATTATTTGCTCTCTTCTGAACCAAATCTGACAAAAATAACCAGACTTAGGAACTGAATGACTTAATAATAATAATAATTGCTTACACTTATATAGCGCTCTTCTGGACACTCCACTCAAAGCGCTTTACAGGTAATGGGGACTCCCCTCCACCACCACCACTGTGCAGCATCCACCTGGATGATGCGACGGCAGCCATAGTGCGCCAGACCGCTCACCACACATCAGCTATCAGTGGGGAGGAGAGCAGAGTAATGTAGCCAGTTCATAGATGGGGATTATTAGGAGGCCATGATTGGTAAAGGCCAATGGGGAAATTTGGCCAGGACACCGGGGTTACACCCCTACTCTTTTCGAGAAACGCCCTGGGATTTTTAACGACCACGGAGAGTCAGGACCTCGGTTTTACGTCTCATCCGAAGGACGGAGCCTCTTTACAGTATAGTGTCCCCGTCACTATACTGGGGCATTAGGACCCACATGGACCGCAGGGTGAGCGCCCCCTGCCAGCCCCACTAACACCTCTTCCAGCAGCAACCTTAGTTTTTCCCAGGAGGTCTCTCATCCAGGTACTGAACAGGCTCACACCTGCTTAGCTTCAGTGGGTTGCCAGTTGTGAGTTGCAGGGTGATATGGCTGACTTGAAACCCATGTACTCCCTGTCTTTTTTAACCTTTTGTCTACCAAATGAAAATTACAGTTTAATGTTTGGTAAACATTTTTTGTCCTCCTGAAAATGTATCAACTGTACACACCTAGTCAGATAAGTATTAATTTCATTCCAGCCTCATTTGTTCAGATTAATAGATTTGTAATCTCTTATTGAAATCCAGATTCATTTGAATGTTTTTAAAACAAGCCAAATTTAATTCAATCAGTGCCAGCGGTAATGGAAATATTTAATGTCTGCTTTTTTTTTGGGGAACTACTCTGTAGTGCCCTATTTAGGCATCTCTGTGTTACCTGAATACATTGTTACTGAGATCTACTGTATAAAATTGTTGGAAGAATTAATTTCTTTGGTAAATCATTTCAAGGCATCTCCATCATGTATTCGCTAAATCGAAGAGTGGAGTTCTAATGAACATTGGGGAGGGAAGAAGGCAACCGAACTAATTCAACTCGGCTGATGCAACTTGCACTTAATCCTGACGCGATCGCCTCAGTTCATATATATACCACACATCACCCTCTCCTCTTCTTCGCTCATTTTCGTTTCCCTCCTCTGGCATCGCCAGCTTTGCACCGGCCCCTGGGTCACCTTTTCACCAAGCAAGGGGGTCCCAGCCTCCCCTTTCGGCCTGGAGGTCGGCCCTCAGCCAATTGGGTTAAACCAAAGTTTTCACTAAAACCAGTAAACGATTCTACGGTTACACAAACCTCGGCTGCTCTCATTCCTCGTGAGCTATAAAGGACCCAGAAATGAAACTCTGCCCTTTTAATGTTGTTTAGGGTACTATGTGGCAGGAAGCGCTTTCCTCACCAACTGCTCAGGACATTGAGGAAGAACTGCAGACGTATCAGCCATCCTTCAGGTACCGTCACTTAGAATGAACATTACAGTGATTTGTAAGATTTTAAAGATGTTAATCATTGTCAGTTTGAACATAATGTGCTCCCAGGTTATTTGTATCAAAGAATGGAGTATTTTTGTAAAGATTGTCCTGTGAGTACACTACATAGAAGTGTTGCATAATTTTTTGTACTGTGCATGCACAAAGCTTTTAGCTGGTTTTAGTGAATGGGTTGACCCTAACAAAAAACTCTAAAGCTATTTATGGCTTATATACCATATACTGTGTATTTAAGGTTTGATGGCAAATGCTACACGTTCTGACTATTGCACTTGAGATCACAGGTACAGAATTCCTTTTCTACTGCTGTCAGTGTTGACTCGATTCCCTAAGGAGACCCTCACAGTGTGTCCTCTGCCCTCTTTCCTCAGAGTCCGAGGCCACCTCACACAGGTGGACATCCCGCAGGTGTCGGGCAGGCTGATGACCTACCAGACTCTGCACTGGTATGAGCTGGATGATGTCCACAAGGAAATCCACAAGCCAGACCCTGCAGCGGAGCTCAATGACCCGTATGACTTCTCTTTCTGAGCCAGGTCACGTCCCATAGGAGGGCTACCTGCATCCAGAGCAATGAGCTACAGGTCTTGGCTCTCTTGGCCATAATTCTCATATTTAAATTGATTTTTTCAAAATATGAAAAAAATTGTTTTTATCGGAAGGGTTGGTTCTTGAATTTCAGTTACCATTATCAGATTTCAGAATAAAGATAAAACAGAGCACAACGGTATATTTACTTCACATACTTTGAATAAACTTCAAATGTTTACAAAACAATGGAAAGGTACCTAACTGAAAAAGACAAGCTGATATCTTTGCCTCTTTGAAACCCAGGTTTCATTTACTGTTCAAAAGATTTCTTGTCAATGATTACACAGTTTTTCTGTGAAAGAGAAACTGGAGAACAGGAACTATAAGCTTTAGAAAGTCTTCTTGTTTTTTTATATCATAAATCTTCCATTGTAGGCTGAACTGTAAGTGCCGAAATCCCTGCTGCTTTCTTCTAGCATTTAAGTGCTTATGTCCTTTGAATATAGGCATCAATTTTCTGGTTTCACATGCAAGATGTACTGATTAAATGGTTATTATGCCCATCTTAAATATTGAGCAGTATAACTGATCTTCATTTTTGACAGTAGAAAATCTGGAAATTCTGCAGAAAAGCTGATTTATCAGAATTGCCCACTCCTTCCCTAGGTTCTGAACATTTTTATAGCCTTAAATGTTGTACAATTGCTGGACTCCTGCCTTTCAAGATGTGCTTGTTTTCTTTTTGATAAATAAGTCTGAGCTCCTATACTGTACATGATGTACCAAATTTAGCTATTAACAAATAGTGCTTCTTTCTTTAACCAATATACTATAAAAAAGGTAGCCTAGTCTCTTTTGAATAACTTGACATAAGAAGGAAAATATAAACGTTATGTCCTGTGTACAGAATTAACTCTTCTTGAAGTGGATTCACATCTGGTGCTGACACTGAATGAAACTTTTGATACATGACATCATCTGTATTTTTGCCTTGTCTCTTTCTCACTTGGATAAATTCCTGCATAAGAATTATTTTGATATGATTTTACTCAGTTTTGATTACAATGTTATGATTAAATTTTAGTTTATAGTTGCTGGGGGCAAAACAGACAGACAGAAACAGTGAAAAATAATTTTATAACTTCTCAACTGCATATTTTTTCTCTTCGTCTCTACAACTGATCAAACAATTCTGACAAACAAGATGTGAAATAGGACAGCTGAACACAGCTATGCAGCTGTTTCTAACTGAGCTGCTGCTTCATGGTGTGAGAATTACAATTGCTTAGTTACCGTTTGTGTCACTTGTGGTTGAAAGAAGAAAAATATACAGTGCCTTGCGAAAGTATTCGGCCCCCTTGAACTTTTCAACCTTTTGCCACATTTCAGGCTTCAAACATAAAGATATACATTTTTTATTTTATGTGAAGAATCACCAACAAGTGGGACACAATTGTGAAGTGGAACGAAATCTATTGGATTTTTGAAACTTTTTTAACTAATAAAAAAATGAAAAGTGGGGCGTGCAAAATTATTCGGCCCCCTTGCGTTAATACTTTGTAGAGCCACCTTTTGCTGCGATTACAGCTGCAAGTCGCTTGGGGTATGTCTCTATCAGTTTTGCACATCGAGAGACTGAAATTCTTGCCCATTCTTCCTTGCAAAACAGCTCGAGCTCAGTGAGGTTGGATGGAGAGCGTTTGTGAACAGCAGTTTTCAGCTCTTTCCACAGATTCTCGATTGGATTCAGGTCTGGACTTTGACTTGGCCATTCAAACACCTGGATACGTTTATTTGTGAACCATTCCTTTGTAGATTTTGCTGTATGTTTGGGATCATTGTCTTGTTGGAAGATAAATCTTTTGCAGACTCCAACAGGTTTTCATCCAGAATGGTTCTGTATTTGGCTGCATCCATCTTCCCCTCAATTTTAACCATCTTCCCTGTCCCTGCTGAAGAAAAGCAGGCCCAAACCATGATGCTGCCACCACCATGTTTGACAGTGGGGATGGTGTGTTGAGGGTGATGAGCTGTGTTGCTTTTACGCCAAACATATCGTTTTGCATTGTGGCCAAAAAGTTCGATTTTGGTTTCATCTGACCAGAGCACCTTCTTCCACATGTTTGGGGTGTCTCCCAGGTGGCTTGTGGCAAACTTTAGACAAGACTTTTTATGGATATCTTTGAGAAATGGCTTTCTTCTTGCCACTCTTCCATAAAGGCCAGATTTGTGCAGTGTAAGACTGATTGTTGTCCTATGGACAGACTCTCCCACCTCAGCTGTAGTTCTCTGCAGTTCATCCAGAGTGATCATGGGCCTCTTGGCTGCATCTCTGATCAGTCTTCTCCTTGTCTGAGCTGAAAGTTTAGAGGGACGGCCAGGTCTTGGTAGATTTGCAGTGGTCTGATACTCCTTCCATTTCAAGATGATCGCTTGCACAGTGCTCCTTGGGATGTTTGAAGCTTGGGAAATCTTTTTGTATCCAAATCCGGCTTTAAACTTCTCCACAACAGTATTACGGACCTGCCTGGTGTGTTCCTTGGTCTTCATGATGCTCTCTGCGCTTTCAACAGAACCTTGAGACTATCACAGAGCAGGTGCATTTATACAGAGACTTGATTACACACAGGTGGATTCTATTTATCACCATCAGTCATTTAGGACAACATTGGATCATTCAGAGATCCTCGCTGAACTTCTGGAGTGAGTTTGCTGCACTGAAAGTAAAGGGGCCGAATAATTTTGCACGCCCCACTTTTCATTTTTTTATTAGTTAAAAAAGTTTCAAAAATCCAATAGATTTCGTTCCACTTCACAATTGTGTCCCACTTGTTGGTGATTCTTCACATAAAATAAAAAATGTATATCTTTATGTTTGAAGCCTGAAATGTGGCAAAAGGTTGAAAAGTTCAAGGGGGCCGAATACTTTCGCAAGGCACTGTATAGGAAGCAAAAATATATATCCTAAAGGTTAGCACATTCTCACTGATCTGCTTCTTATACACAACAGTACTAGCTCTCAATTTCACTTAACTACTTTAATATTTTATGCAAAACTATAATTACTTATTAATAGTGTATTTGGGTGTTAATAGAACATTGATTCACCTTACCTAGTAACAGTATTGCATGCAGGTGAACTGAAGACAGAAGCTGCAAAGATATCCAAGGAGTTAAAGATACAAGCCCTCAAAAAGAGGACTGGAGCTCAACTTTATACAGCCTCATCACATCTCATTCTGCCATACTCTTATGGGCGTAATCAGTTAACATTACATAATTAATAGGAGTGAATTTACAGTTCCTTAAGTTTCTAAAATGTTTCAGCATGTTATTATTAAAAAATAAATAAATATGAAATAATGAGAAACACCTTAATCATTTTTATGTATTTAATTATCCTTTTGGTACAGAATTGTTACACAGCTGCAATGGAATATGATAAACTTTATTTCACTATTTCTTAAAGCAGAAAATACAAAGCTGCCAGTTACAGATGTAAAACTACTGGAACTCAGCATCAGTACAGCATCCATTTACTCTAGAAAGTGGGGTCAGTGTGTAATGGCAATACTTGGGCAAATAAGGCCAAAATAATTACTTAGACAAAGAGATTAAATGCCCTACCATGGAAATTATACTGTAATTTTTATTAAATCAGAATATGCATAGTTTGTATAAACTAAAAGCTGGTGACCTTGTGTTTGTAGAGTGCTGAGTTACTTATAAAGAGAACAAAATAAAATAAAATGTAGATTATCAGACAACATTTTTGAAAGTTTAATTAAGAAATGCTTACATCTGATGCATCTAGCAAGATTGTACTGCTCAGAATGTCATAGTCTTTGATAGAAATGCTAAAAGCTTTGTCAAACCTCCCATATTTTGAATCACAAATACTTCCACTAACATGTTTGAAAAGGGAATAACAAAGAAACAAAAGTTCTTACAGGAACCTTCCAGAACCAAAACACAACCGTCTTCTGCTCTGTATTTAATTTGCACAAGGAGCATCATAAGTATACATAAAAAAATATCCTGGTTTGCAAAGACGGACCAATCCATCTCTATCTCCAGAACTGGCTGCAAAAAGTCGATAGCTTTACAAACACAGTAACAGAAGGTTTGTGAGGAAATCGAGGGCACATACTGTAGTTTCATTGTACATTTGCTGAACAAGACAGGTATTGACAACACGCATCCCTCACCAAACAAATGCAATCAGTGCATAAGGAATATCAGCCCGGCTTTATCAGGCTTGATTATTCAGGAAGCTTTGCCAGGCTCCATGCTCATGTTAAATCGCAAGCCGTGTCAACATGCAGACCTCACAAGCAGTTGTCAATCCAATTTACCCTACCTGCTGCACTGAACTAGAAAGTGTTCTCTGATTTCCACCATGGCTTTTAATCTTGTGGATTTTCACCAAGGTTCGGAGCAGCACTTCCAAACATTTTTTATTTAATTAATTTTAAGAAAAATCAAGTCAGTCTCAACTGCCACTGAAATCACAGCAAAAACAGAGATGTAGAGCACTTTGTTTTTTCAAAATGTACATTGTTATCTCATCCAGTGAGCTTTTACAGTATTATAGCAGATGTGCAAAGCAGTCCTATAGCTTTTGGGGCATTATGATCAATGGATTCAAATAAAAGTATTGTTTTTAGTTTTTTTAACACTGAAATGGAAGTTTCTATCTTTCACCTTTTTCTGAAGGGAACAATGCAAGTCAAGAACCCTTCTCAATTGTCGCTAATTAGTGAAATCAAGGAACAGCTAAGACTATTAAATATCCATGTGATTACCATAGCTGTTTCTGTTCCACAACAGTTTAAATTTATATTCTTAGGAATGGCAGAGCACTATTTTACAATCCAGCATCTAAAGGGAAACCGAAATGAAAAGTGGTCTAATGAAAGAATCCCCTCCGTGTGTCAGTCTTATGACCTGCTATAAGAAACCCTTTAGTTGCAGTAACTTATCAGTACAATGTGAAATGCCACAGAACAAACTGCTAGAAAACAAACAAGAAAATAACACAGAAACAGTTTTCTATGTTAATTTATGCTCTTGTCCTTGTTTGAGCGCCAAATGAACTTGACATAGTTCAGTGCTTGTTTTTGGTCAGAATAACAGCTTTTTTCAATTGTCTCCATTTTCTACGAAGTAAATGTGGGAATGGATCAGTACAATAAAACACAACCAAGACGGCTTCTCCTGGAATCCAAAAACCATTTTGCTGTTGCTAGTTTTCTCACAATAACAGTTGTTAATACGCACTTAAACTTTTCTTCGAATGTGTAACTAACTGCCAATTTAAATTACTATAATATTTACAAATTCAAAACAGAAAACGTATCTCAAAAAGTAATTTAAATATATAATTTTTTTAACTCATATCTTAATTATTTTAATGGCATGTAATATAATTTATTCACCAACAACATCTTATGTGCAATACATATTTACTTCTAAGGCTTTACAGAATCCAACGCCTTAGTCTTAAAGTTACCTTTCACAAGCCTAAAGGTATGTTTCGGAATAACAATCTGTTTTTGAATAAAGCAGAATGTTCGCAGAATACACACTCCAATCCAGTATCGGCTAACACAATAACAGACATGACTATAAACACTAAAGAATCTGTCCCCCATCGATAACCCTGGTTGAACCAGATAGACGTGTTCTTAAACCACACCTGACTGCAATAACGTATTCAAATTCAAAAACAAAAGGTGTAAGAAACTAAAACACGGGACAACCGATAAAATACAGAACGTGGAGAACAAACCCAATACGTGTCTTGTAAACCAGCTCTAAAAACTGATTTAAAACCTAAAGTGATGATGGGATATCCTGAAAACACTTGGGGGCGCTGGTCTCAGTCCACCTCCATTTCCCCTGTACGTGGCTTTGTCGGGTGGGGGTTTTCTCCCTTGGCCTCCGTCTTGCCCTCCGGCCCGCTCTGTCCATTCACTGGGCCATTTTGAGCCTCACCGTTCTTGTCCTTCTCATCTGGTGGGAGTTCCACTTTAGGCTTTGGCTTGTTGATAACAGCACTGCAGATCCTATCCAGATCCTGAACAAGTGAAAGAAGCATAAGGTACATTCTACGCCAGCGCCTATATCACACACTACACCCCACTGAAGCCCAGCAGGGGTGAGCCTGGCCAGTACCTGGATGGGAGACCTCCTGGGGAAAAACTAAGGTTGCTGCTGGAAGAGGTCTTAGTGGGGCCAGTTATTATTAATAATAATAATAACCTACAATGGAATACAAATTAACAATACAGAAGAAGGACTGTGAGGAACAAAAATATTGTATAAACTGCCCATCATCAATTTATCATAGCAAGTTCCCCAGAATTCGTCAAGAAACAACTCATTGATTTCCCCACAATAGTAACCTACCAATATTCGGATAAGCAAGGCTACAAACCAGTCCTTTCTTATGTTCTTGTGTTCTGAGCCTTGGCTTTATACTTCAAAATAAAGATAAACAGGTGTTGTAGATGTACTTCGGGGTTGTCTGTCAGTGAGCTTACCTGGGTTTTTGCAATGATTTCTGTCACTTTCACCGCAGGGTCCTGGGCTATAGTGAGCTTACTCTGCGCGTTCATCTTGCTGTTCATCCAGTTCATCGTCTCATTGACACACTGCTCCACCTTTGCAATCTCTGCTGCTTCCAGGTGATCATATCTCTCATCCTGGGGACAGGGGGTAGAAGGGCAGAACTTCTGTTAGAAAAATATAGCATATGATAGCTTGGCATACTTGTGTGGAGGAAGAGGAATGTAAAAAAGGGAGAATAAAAAGAAGAACAAAACTGGATTTTCTTCTCTCTCGGTTAAAATTAGCGTGAGAACCTGCAAAAATACACATTTCCCAAAAAAGTAGCCAGAATTTCACACTCTTAATTAAACATGACACCTACTCCTCAGCAGATTTTTATGATTCTTGGGATTGAAAACTACAAATTTGAAATTACGGTTTGATTGAGTGAGCTATACAAAATACTCAAATTCACTGTGATCAACATGGACTTCTCATAAATGAATTTACAATTGTTTTAACTATACGAAAACAAACCATATCTGTACCTGACTTGTTCACTTTGAGAAAGCAGTACTGTGAATATAGGTAGTCAGTAGGTATATTTCAAAATCTAAAACTGTGTGTCTATCTAAATCATACTGAAATCTGAAATTGCTTATTTCCAACAGAAAGCACAGTAAGTGTATTTTCTTACAGGAAATTGGAAACAAGTCCTACGTGTTCCATTTTGTCACTGACAGTTTCTACGTCAGAGTGTAACAATTTCATCTACTGTACAAAATTTCAAAACAAGTTAAAAGCAGATTGTGGCCACACAAACACAAATAATTAGCATTTGATTAGGTCTCCTCACTGATTCTGATAAAGCAAAGGAGAAATGAATCTGGGTATTTATCAGGAAATCAGTCATTCCGTATTATGCTCACTGAAAGCATACTGACCTCTTTCCTGTGAAACAATCAATGACATTAACAAGCTTTTTCCAACAATTTCCTTTCCATTGATGTTTTTAGGGGTTATTCTGCTCTTTATTTATTAAAGGGCATTACATAGCCAACAACAAATGAGTAATGGAAAAGAAGTTAACAGCATTTGTTGTCTTTTAATGATTCCCGGTATATTTACACTGTTGTCTTAGGTAGTTAAATTGAAAAACGTGGCCTGATCTCACACAGTCAGAGCTTTTGAGTTCAGTTCTTTATTCTAAGCTATCAAATTGTGGTGTAACTCTCTGAAACAGAACTGACTGAGGCAGAATCACTTCTGAGATAAAACTGCAGTACCTTTTGTTTATAGGCCTCCACTGCTTTCATGAAGAGCTGAATTTTCTTGCCCAGTTCATCAAATGCCTTCGGCCTCTCCTCATGCTCCCTGTGCCGGTCCTGAATGGGTTGACCAAATCTCTGTGGAAAAGAAAGTGAGGACCTCCCATGAGCAGTTCACTTCCATTTCCACCATGAAATTATTAGGACCCTAGGAAGGATCAAATTTGAAGAGTGCATCTCAAACAGGTTAATACTTTGAGGTGGTCATCTGTGAAACACACATTCCTGCTTGGCGTGAATGACTGTGCACAACAATCCTTTGATAGTGGTAGTGATAGTGATTTCATATTTTTTTAAATATTCAATACTGGACATCTGGCTATAAACTAAACTGGCCACAAGGAGAATTGGTTTTGTGAAAGCTGCCATTTTACAGTTTTAAGGAAAAATAGGTTATGGAATAAGAGAAGACTATTTGACTCCTCTTATTCCATTTGCTGCCATCTTGATCCAGAACAAGACTGAAGAATTCTTGCCTTCAGCTCAGCCAGTTTGTCTACGTAGACTTGCTTGGGCTGGTCCTCCCCCTCCTCGTACAGCCAGTTCTCCGTGTCCTCCAGCATCAGGGTCAGTCTGCTGCTGTCCTGCAGGGTCAACACGACATTGTCTTAGAAGGGATGCATCTCATCGTACATTAAGATGTCGACCATGTATTTTCTAACCGCTTCTTCCAATTCAGGGTTGCAGGGGAGCCAGAGACTGTCCAGGCAAGCACAAGGCAGGATACACCCAGGAAGGAAGCCAGTCCATGGCAGGCTGGGCACACACAGACGTGTCCTCACACCAGGGTCAGTTTTTGCAGAAGCCAATCAACCTACCAGTATGTCTTTGGACTGCTGAAGAAAATCGAGCATCTGGAGGAAACCCACACAAACACAGAGGGAACACACAAACTCCACACCAGATACAGTAGCATCCCAGGTCCAGAACTGAACCCCAGGCCCAATTGCTGGGAGGCGGCAATGCTAACAATTGCGCCAATATGCAGCCACAAGATCTCATCATGGCATTATCACATGCAATATATTGGAGTATATCAATTTTTTTTACTATGTCTTTGAAATAATAGCTAAATTTATTGCTTTGTATAGTCTGAATAATGTCCTGCACTGTTTTTTACCTAGAAAAAATGGGGAACAAAGAAACTCTCCATTTTCCAATATAATTCTTTTTAATGCTCTAATTAACATTATTATTATTTAGAGACATTCTGCCTCCTGATCAGCAGTCACTCCTGGATAAGACAATCTGGAGATGAAGAACTTTTCCTAGTTACAAAATCCACAGATATTCATCAGAGGTTCCTGCCAATAAAAACAATACTGCTTAAACACGTACTGCTGACTCAAACCCCAAACTAATTCAGTTTCAGGGCCATTTCTTAGACTGACTGGCAGGTTGTTGGCCTACAGCAGTAAGTGCTCTCTTACATCTTCACTGATGAATTTTTCATAGATGCTGCACAGCTTGTCCCGGAGGTCATAGACGTACTCTTCCACAGCGTTCTTGGCATCGTTCCGCTCCTTCTCCAGCTTGTCCTGCATTATCATCTTTCCCTAAGAAGGGCAGAGATGAGCAGTCAAGAAACTGCCCCTACACGCTACTGTCATAAAGCAACAACAAAACCAGTTGTGTTTTTTTCTGATTGATACTACTTTATTAAAACACTTAAAAGTGCCCTGGACATCTATTTTTAACCCTGATGAAACAGGCACAAAAAACACAAAGAGCTATAGACTGGATAATTTGCCTTGCTTAAAACAAATCTGAAATTTCAAAGGGTAATAGTAATAGCACTGTAGAAAGCAAGGTCATTTTGTCACATGTAATTAAATTATGTCCAGAAAATACACATCTCTAAGTATCTGTGAAAATAAAATCAAACAATCTCAAGGCCTCTGAAGGTTTCTGGTGTCCCTAAGGGAATAAAGGATGTAACAGGAAACATTCAGTAATAAAATGCATCATTCTGGTTAAAGTCAGAAGTGAAGGTTAAGGTTAAACTACCATCGGTAACTGCCTGTGTGAATATGACATTCATGGCAAGGAAGAAGAGGAGAAGCCTCTTCTGAGGGTGAACCACAGAAAAAGAAAACTCTGTCTTGCTAATTTACATCGGGATGATGGTGCAGACAGAGTAGTTTGGGGTTGTGTTGTCTCTATGGGACGCGGAGCCCTCAAACTTATTGAAAATGTGTGGTTCAAACTCAGGAAGGCAGTTTGCAAACAGAAACCAGAGGGTCTTCCTGGAGAAACAAAAACAAATCACCCCGTCAGAAGTATTAGAAACCCACAGGGCATCAAAGGAGGTGTCTTTTCAGTGTAATCCATACCTGAAGGCGGATTTGCAAAATACTTTCTTAAGGGGTGTGAATTTTTATTATTACTAAGATATATTATTTTTTCAGGGGCAATGCTATTAAGATTACCATATAACAATTTTAGATTTTTTTAAACTGCACACAAGTTCCAATCTGTACAACCTTCTGTTCTGTGATGTTCTGTTCTGAATATGTTTTCTGTGATGTTTTCCTGTTTCATTAAAGCATCTTTATAATAGCTGCTCTGCTACTGAAAGCTCTTTGCATCAGGAAAATCACCTTCTTCTACCAAGTAAATTTGAGATGGTTTCATTTTACAAGGGACATGATTATATTCTACTATGCATTTAACCTAAGGAAACCACCCTGCCGCCCTCTTTATTGTGTTCCTAAAGGTGGTCAGGTGCAGCTATGCCGAATAAGCTAGTGTGTATGCTTGGAGAGAAAGTAATTAAAGCGGGTCCATAGCTCATAACGAGGTCGCCCTGCAACGGCTGACTGCAGACTTCAAACCACAAGGAGCAGCAGGTACTCAGGGGGAAGAGCATCGCTTCTGACACCCTGTTCTAACATTTCAGAGGCCAGAGAGCAGATGGCTGCGAACTCCCAGACTGAGTCACCACTAAGGCCTGTGATGTCTGCAGAACCTCCAGCAGTTCCCAGCTCGCTTCTCGCCCTGCATGCTCCGGCACACACAGCTGCTAATTAAACCAGCTTACCTCATTCTCCACAAAGCTGTTCAGCACGTCCCTGCCCAGCTGTCTGATGGTGTTGGCCACAATGGGGAGATCGATGCTCTTGACCTTCACCTTGGGCGCGCAGGCCCCAGAGTTCGGCTCCTGTTTTTCCGCAGCGCCACCCTCCTTTCAACCACAACATTAATGTAGAAATCAGGCGCAGGAACCACAGGAACAACAAGCTTGCTTTCTGTTCAACAGAGCAGAATGCTGCACTACAGCTTTCACACAACAGTTGCATGATATACTGTAGCATGATAAGAAAGAAATGTTCTTCCTTGCCTCTAGCACAGGGATTCTCAACTTTTGTTGGTGGATAAACCCTTCTCTAAAGAAATAACTTTTATTCAGGGCCCACGATTCAAAATACAAAGCATTTCTCACATCAAGCAGAAGCTGGAACAGTCAGACAGGTTCCAACGTGTGAGACAGGTTCACAGATCACTAGAATGGAGGTTGAAATCTGTCAGTTTGTTTCTGTTTCTGCAAAGCTAGTCTCTGAGGAAACCCAAATGTTCTCATACTATAGAATGGTATCCATTTGAGAGGGGAGCAAAGGGAAAGGCATTTCTACAGGTAGAAGTGATCCCAATACTTATCAAGTGATCAGGGGACCCACTTCCTAGGGGCTCAGGCTACAGACTCTTCATTCCTCAACACTCAACCCGGTCTCCTAACAAAATCTTTACTCGATATCATAGTGGATGTAAAAGTTATGTGATGCAACACTGGTGAATGTGCCTGGGCAGTGTAGATTCCTCACCTTGTTGTCAGTGCTCGAAGCTCCAGCCTCCTCACCTGGCTGGTTGGTTGAGTCTGCCTGCTCTCTGGGCTGTGCATCTTCATGGTCCACCTGCATTTTACTCTGAAAGACACAGGGAATGTCATTGACTCACAGACGTATATATCCTAAAGTTTCCTATTTCTACTGCACAAATAAAGATATATAATAGGCAAAACCTCTATTCTATTATTCCAATGAACTACACTGATGCACAAAAGAAACGTAACAGTTCTAGGGCCTGTATCAAATATTTTAAACACATTACAGCAAAATCACAAAGTATGAAGAAAATCCAAAATGAAAGAATTCTGAAATGTGACCCACTGTCACAGATAAAACAATTGAAACTGTTATGACCTGACAGTGCATTAAATCAGTCATAGCAATATTGATGCACAGGCCTGATCAGCCTCTGGACAGAGTGCTGTGAGATATCCCACCACTCTTCCTGTTCAGCTGCAGCCTGCACAAAACCAGCAGACAATGTGTAGTCATGGTTATCTCCCATTAAAGGAACTGCCAGGCTGGTCCCACAGTTGTTCTGCTGGACACGGGATAAAAAAACTGGCCACAGCAAGACTTCAACACAGTTCTCTTCAAATCATACCATTGTAATCCTAGCAATGTGCATCTTGCATTTTTGTACTGGAATAATCAGCACTTCTTCTGCTCGTTATAATGGGAGATTCCTACACAGTCTCTCAGTTTTTTAACATGTTACCCTTGAATGGCCCCTGAGCATGCATACAGTCTGTTTTTATGTAGAAGGTGAGCTGATGCATGGGTTAGGTTCTCTTAGCCATCGCAGTCTGAACGCATGACACAGATGAATCAAATGGACATCCTGGGCCATTGGTTGACTAGCTTCCTTGCATAACACGGCATGTTCCTCAACAGAACTGCTTTTGTGGTTTACTGAACAAATCTCCTGAAGCAGAACATCTCATTCTTCTAATAACAGACAGGCCACCTTCTATTAGGCCAATACCAACCAGGAGGATAGGTGGTAGGGTGTAGTCTTATCTTTTCTTGTTCTTACACTGATTAGAGTCAAGTCCTTTATACTGGGTATTTATGCAAAATCTTAAAATAATTTTGGAAATAAAACCCATCTGAAACATCAAACAGTGAACACCAGGCAGATTTAAGAAACCAAGCAACTTGAGCTCAGTCTACGTTATCCCAAGAAACCATGCTGTTAAAAAGAAAAATCAATCTGCTCAACTGATTTAAGACTGTTGCGTTTGTATTGCGCATCAGTATGAATAATAATAACACCATTAATTATCAAATTTATCACCCAACACTTCATGAGTCTACAAGATAATAGCTTCAGCTTATCTATGTAACTTCCTTTTACTACAGGGAAGGCAAGAAAGATCTTAAATGGCAAAGAATGGTGAAATTATAATCAACATCTTTTATCACAGTGAAGCTCTTTAAGCAGGAAATGAAAAACAGATTCTGCCCATCTAAAGAATCTATAACTACGAACACAGAACAATAATGCAGTGAACAGTGGGAATGCCAGAGGATAAGCAAAATATTACAGAAATAGTCAGGTGGGGATGCCGTCATGGAACTAGTGTAGAATTTACAAAGGATAAACAACAATGATGTGGAGATGTATTTTTCTTAACAATTCCACTTTTCCCAAGTCATCTATGCTAAAGTACCACACTCCCTAGAATAAAGTGAGACACATCTCCTTGACCACACAAATCTTGAGTTTGGTTGAGGGATACAAAGCCTGCTAATGCCTTTTTCTCACTGGGAATTCCGAGAATTCCAGCATTGGGCCGCCTGGTGGGTAACCAGCGACATTTTCTTTTTCATACGAGAAGGATTTAAGTGAAAAGAAGGCATTATGCGGTAATGAACACATTCATCACAAACCTCCTCCTCATAGTTATAGCTGTCATCTTCAATGAGAAGAGAGGGATGCTGCTTCAGAACAAGAAATAAAGAAACAGAGAGGTCTTGAGTGAAAAAAATAACCCAGATACCATCTACAGTACCTATGTACCAAGCTGGAACAATAACACATTCAAAAGGAAAACCCGATTACAGCCAGTTTTTTTTAGGTTTGTACATTAGAAAAAAAAAATGTCAAGGATCTGCACAACAAGGAAGATGTTAACTTTAGTTATAAAAACAAAATTTAACAGAAGCCTTCTCTGCGATTCTATTGACAAAGATGCAAACAAGCACGTTGTTCAGTGCTCTAATGGGAATATTCACTGTTAATCACATTATTGCAATAAACTATGGAATCATTATGGAAAATCAGTCCATTTCCACTTGTGTCCTGGATGTACTGTAATAAAAAAGTAGTCTGTCAACACTTAAGGAAAAGATCAGTTTCCAAGCACTAACTTTATTTGGTGTTTCCCATTGAATAATCCATATTCTTAATGGGAATGTAGGTATGCTAATTTTACGTGGAGTGAAATTTGCTGGAATTTTGAGAAAGCTCAGTACCTGGCATACAAACGGCTGACAGATTCTGCAAATAACAGTAATTCAGACAAGACAAAAGAAATATAAACCAGACACAAAGCAGAAAGGCAGTTATTTTAAACTAGGTCCCAGTGTGTCACAATAGTTCAGAGAGAACAAGGATATACCACACATTACTGTGTTAAGATATGAGCAAATTAAAAAATAAAATGTGCTGTGAGAGGACAGTAAAATTGGACAAGATGATGGATCTCATCTGAAATATATTGCCCAGGAAACTGTGGATAATAACTTGCTGCCCTCAGTCACCTGACTAATCGGAAGAACCAGGAAGCAGAGGCCTCTAGTTGTTAGTCTGTATTCCATGTCTAGTCGAACCTATCAGGTCCTCTGTTATTTGATGCACTACAAGGAAGATGAAGGAAGCAAATGGCTGACTGTTATGCGCATGTGAATATGTGACACATTTGATAGACATTTTGGTGCTAGTAAGCCACTTAGCTGCCCAACTGTGTTTTTAGAGAGCACTGATAAAAAAATAAATGTAGAGCTCAAAGTGGAGCTAGAATTTTGTTTGTGTTTTATTGCACTGTTTTTCTGTAGCTTACAGCTATGTTTGTCTCCTGCTTGGGACACATTTATTATAAGACATCTGCTACAGTCCTGTGGCCCCGGAGTAGTCACAGCATGAAACACACTGTGACTTGTGTCAAATCATGTATCCAGGATGAAAAAAGATTCTGTCATTAATACTGTATTGCTGTTATTCAACTGAGAATGAGTTACACCTTCTGTATTTATTTATGGCCATTAAAGACTTTCATTTTCAAATACTTTTGTATCCATTAAAGATAAGGTAATTTTAGTAGATTTAAAAAGACTAAGATAAATACAGGCACAAACTTAGAGGCAAGAAGTACTGAATTAGCCATAAAATCCTACAAGAAAAAGCTATCCAGAAGAATTTGAGCCTAGCCATTGACTGACTACGCTTAACCTTGTGGAGTACATTTAGTTGAAGGGGTCAAAGAATGACATTTCAAACTGCAGAATGGTGTACACTGTCATGACAAGATAATTGAGTTCTGTTAATGTGATCTTTCCAGATACCACTGTCTGTAACTGATACATGACTTGAGTGCTGGCACACTGCTCTTGCCTCAGAGATGTAGCTGTCAAAATGACTTCAATATAGAAGACAAAAGAAGAACGGGGAAAATATGGCCCATGAGTGAAAAAGCAGGCAAAACAGGACATCAAAACCACCACAGAGAGGGACATGGTATGAAATTGACTGGAAACAAGAAAGGAAACAAAAAAAGGAAAAGGAAAAGTTTCAACCTGAAGGCTTCCTGCTGGTGGTCTAATCTGTGAGAACTATTGGTTGACTAGAGAAGATGAACACTTTTTTCCCCAGAATAAATGGATGATATATTTTGAGATATATATAAAAAATCTTCCAACTCCCTTACCTTCTCCTCCTGTTTGCCCTCATTCTGGACAGTGGGTTCAGTGTCCATGGGAACGTCGTCGGCTTCGCCCTTCTGCTTCTCAATCAGAGACGCGCTCGACACACTGAAGATCCCGTGAATGTTGACACGAACTTTGACCTTCACTTTGGAGTTGTCCCCATCCGGCTGGGGAATGACATTCTGCACAGTGAACCATCCTGGAAGAGAGAGGAGTGTATAAGTTTCTTTCAAAATATTCTCTTCATTCTCTTCAAATAAATTCACTAACAATACTAGTTAAATGTCTAAGAATTTGCCTTTTTTCGGGGGAATTTAAGGGATCAACGGAATCCATCTAAACTCCAAGTCAGCCATGTTCAGTTAGGAAATTAACATCAAGAGAATAAGCATCACAATAAATTTTACTCTTCAATACGGAAAAATACTGAAAATATAGAAATATGGGAGCTGCAATAACCAAATCTCTACACTGACTAACAGGAACATCTGGTTTCAGAGCGGTTTCTTATTCACCTACTGTATTTATAGATCAGTTACTGTATATCCACTTGCAGAAGATACTAAGAAGGCAGTACTATCAAAGCCTTAATCCATGTTAATTTTCAACAGTGCTTAGGGCTCCCAGCTGCATCTTATCCTGTGCCAACATCACTCCACACAGCACTTGGTGCTATGAGGATGAACGCTTTTAATAAACGTGTGATCAACAACGTTAACACCATTCTGTTTAGCAACACAACCTTTCCAAGCCTGCATTCGCCCTCTGCATTCCCATCTAGGTTAACACTTCAGGTCCCACAACACATTGGGGAATATAATTGTGTCATTTAAAATGAATTTGACAAGTTTTCCATTGCCGTTTATTGTTTTGTAACAAGGTGGGAGTGGGAGGAGCCACGGCGAACACCGTGGTGAACACCAGTAAGAGTCGACATCCGGTATGAGGGGGCAGAGGCACCTGTGTGAGGTAAGCGAAAACTGGAAAGAAAAACACAAAACGGGAAAAACCAAAAGGAAAAAAGAAAAATGCATCGCTTTGCACAGCGCCATCCAGGCTGGACTGCCCCTATTTAACGGGGTCCCATCTGGGGAAAAGAACCGCTTGGGACAGCGGTATCCAGACTGGACTTACCCTCTCTATTGGAGTCCAGTCTGGAAGAAAAGGAGCGTGTGGCCACAACACAAAATAACTCAATCTGTCTCGGTGGTGATACACTACGGGCCGGGAGAAAAAGAAAAGAAAGAAAACGGAGGAAAAACGCGGCCTTACGCTCTCGTCGCAATCCCCTCCGGGACTGTCGCTGGAAGGTTCTCCCCTTGTGGGGTCTGCTCGTCCCTGTGTCTCTGTGTCGAGGTGCACAATGTGTCTTAAAGCTGTCACAGCTGTCAGCTGGCTGATTAAGGATGAGCCGCAGCTGTGGTTGTGAAGGCAACGCGACACCCTTAATCTAGGGCTCTGCCTCCACACTGAACATGCCCCAGCATTATGCCACAGTTCACATTTAAATATAAAATTAGATGTATCAAAAACACTGTAGATTATAAAGAGGCTCTGCATCTAATCATCCTATCTTTACACATATTAGTCCCTAAAACAAGGGGGTTCCCTTTGTCAGCAGGTGTATTTCACTGAATAAAATGTCTGTATTCTGACTTTCACCTTTGTTTCAAAAAAGTCTAGAAGTACAGGGAAACCAGCTGAGGCCCACTTACAGTTTCGACATTGTCTGGTTCAGGTTTCACTGTTGATTCTGTCAATGCTTTTTGAGGATTTTGATTCCTTCTTTAAAAATCAAATCCCCTTGTCGTTTTCTCTGTTCAAGACTAGAAAGATTTTAGAGCCTGTTAGTGTAGGACATTCCTTTGATTCCAGCAATGTGTCTGGTTGATCAGAAATGTATTTTTGGTAACAACATGAGCAGAACTGTACACAATACTGTAAATGTACTTATACTGTATAATATTAATGTATTACAAGTGCTGAATGTATAGATCTTATTCCAAGTTGTCAGTGCCGTGCTCTCACCTATTCTAGTATCTGGATACGGCAGCTCTTGTTGGTTGCTGTAAAAGGCTTCCAAGTCAAAAGGCTCCTTCTTGTGGAAAGTAATGACCTTAGAGAAGGGAGCTGGATGGTTCTTGCTGAACACTTCGCACTCCCTGCATTATAAAAATAACCACATATTTAGTTCAAAATAGGCACGACAAAATCCAAAACTGTGCAGAAAAGTGACTTTGTTCACATTCTACAGACTGTGTGACTCTACTTGAGGAATCACAGTTACAGTCGAATAGAGACATAACTCAGGCTGCATCATACTGCTCAACCTCGGCTCAAGTGCCACTTGGGAGCCCTGTTGAAATAATGCTTGCAGTAATGGATGGATCATGGAATTTACAAACCAACAAACATATTCTTTCTCATGGACATTTTACGAATTCTGTTTAACGGTTTATGTAGAGAAGAAATAGGTACATTTCTGTTAAAAATTAGATATCAGGAAAACATTTTATCATATCACATTTTCCAAAAATGTCATTGACAAATATGGATATTTAATCATTAAAAACACCTAAAACATTTACACAGATGGATGCTGTATAATGCCGGATATCTTCAAGATTATAATTACTTAAAGACTTAAAAGATGTGTATTTTGTCACAATATAATTGCTTAATCTTTTAATCCATGGAAATGTGTTATTATAATATACTGATAATATACTCTGCCAAGTCCTTTCTTAAGACTGATTAACAAAAAACAACTGCAGCTTGCCATGGGTTTTACACATTTAAATGAAACAAGCTGAAAATGTATACCCCATATATAACTGAAAAAACAGATTTAATCATATAATTGAGCATAAGTGAAAAAACATAAGCAATATAATGGTTTGATGGTAAATGATACACTGTCTGTGCTGAGGGAGAATCAGGAAAGTATAACGGCATCTTTTTCCCCTTTTAATTGGACATTCCCCACAGACTTAATATTAACTCATCCAACCGCCTCCTACATTTCCGTCACGTGCTGAACTTGGTAAAACTCAGTTTCACAACTATCCTACCGGATTAGAATTTCAAATTCTGGCATAAATGCTAGTTCTCTCTTGACTGATAGGGCAACACCAATCTGCATAGACTGAAACAACACAATTGCAGTGAAGAAATGGGGTTTGTTTTAGAAATATAGGGAACACGTTTTGGAAAAGATGTTCAGAATTCCTTGACTCCGTGCCTTCCCATCAGAGTAACACAAATGTATGTCTTTTTAATACGGCACACCAAAGTGGAGCCAGCATGGTACATGGTTTAACTTCGTGGTACACTTCATTATCGTAGAATCTTAGAAAAAATATTCAACCACTGCATTGTACCAGATGATTTTATAGCTCCTGAACTGCATCAGCCACACATTGTGGCTCATAGAAAACAGCATGAAATAATCAAAGCAAATAATATTTTAGCAGATACTACCAGCAGACTGATTTTAACAGACTTTTGCATGAGACGTCAGTAAAATTTGTGTCTGAGCCGTGAGCTGTATCTGTGTGTGGGCAGCAAACAAACAATTAAGAGTCTAATTTCACCCCGAAAAGTAGGAAGAAAAATCATCATATCGTGTTTTTTCTAAGTTTAAGTTTGGAACTAACCAATGCTTTGTTTATTACTAAAATACAGCTGTGTATTTCTTGAGAGTACAATTTAAGCAAAAAAAGCAATTTGGCAATTCAGCGAAGAAACTGATTTTGCAGCCCAGGTTACAAATTACTGGGTAAATGTATTTCTGTAAAAATGTGTAGAAAAAGAGAAAGTATTAATCTGACAGAAAGGCAACGCACTGTATGGTGTCACTGCTGTTGAGCATTTCCTAAAATGTCATAACATGTACATGAACTCCATAGCTGTGAAGACACTGGACTCATTTCAAGACTGATTCTGTGCCAAGTGCCTTCTTAAAGGCAGATGAATAGGCAGTAAGGTAGATGGCTAATTTAGCATGGAAAGGATGAGTCACAGCTATGAGCAGAGCTCATCAGTGGGTGTGGATTATCAAGTTGGAGGTTGGAAGTATTAATGAGAGTTGGACTGGATTTATGGGGCTAATGAGAAGTCATGTTGCCTATGATGGTATGTTTGTTAGAAATATCATGGCAAGCTGAGATTATGTAAAAAACAACAGTAAGGAGCCCTCTTTCCAGTATATTCATTCATAACATAGTGCTTTTAGGATATCTTTTCATTTCTTATACTTTCAGTGGCTGGGTATTTTTGATTCACAATAATTATAATTTTTATTGCAGCCTGCTTGTATGTTTCCACAAGAACCAACCACATTAGACCTGACAAAAAACCTAAACTGAAAAACTGTAGCCCAGCTATTACCAAACAAATGTGCTAGTCCTATTCATGAATGGCACATTTCTCTCCATAATGATGACAATAATATCTCATAATTAACATCAGTAAGAACACTGACAATGAGTTCACTTCTGACGTTTTGTTAAGTCGTCAGTTATTAACTTTGCGGAAACTTTCAAGCTTTTTCTTCTTTTACTGAAACCAGTTTTCATGTAACATGCTCATTAAAGCCTTTGCTAAGGGAAAAGTTACATTAGAGCAGTGTAATGAAGCACAGACAATCCCAGATTAAATACTGAAGTCTGCAAGACGCAACAGAAACTGTAAATGAATGGGAAGTACCTAAATGGACATTATTCACTTTAAAACAGAACATAGTGTGGTCCTTACCCAACCCCCTCATCCGATGAGGATTTCCACCTCAGGGTAATGGGAAACGGCACCACGTCTGTGATGGAGAATTCCCGCACTTTAAATGCCGGAGAGAGGATAGCACACTGCCAATAGAGAGAGAGACAGCAATGACGATGTCACTGAGGGCAGGGAGCTTGTTGCTAGGTTTATGAGTTGTTAAGATAACTTTAATTCTCCTTCAAGGGACAAGTCAGTTACATGTGAGGGAAAAAAATAACTCAGTGCTTAAAAACACAATGAGACCTGGGGAAAAAAAAGAAAAAAGCAAATAAAAATATTTTCTCATTTTCAAATATGTATACTATCATATACTACAATAGTTCTGGCAGGAACACAAAACAGTCTGATGTACTTTATATATCGTAGCAGCAGGACATTAAATTCAAACAAGTGTTGGGAACATCCCTGAACCTGCTACAGTATGCCAAAAGAGGCAGCTTCTTGCCCATGGGGAATATGAATACTCTTGAGAGCTATAGGCACTGCTTTCATTGTAATACAATTTTATTTACAATTATTGCTTGCTGTTCCTGAAAAAGTAAATATCATTTATTCAGTGAATTCCTGAATTTACACCAGCTCAAACCTCTTCCCCCTCGCGAATCTCTAGGAGCAAAAGAAAATGGAGCGTAAGATCCTTTAAATAGTAGTAGCACATCTGTACTTCATGGAATTGCAAAAGTCTATTTTTATGCCAATGTAGCTCCAGTGCACTGTTATAAGAGATTCCCTTCTAAACTAAGAATGTAGCACTGGCCAGGAATCCCAACTGGGCTTAGACAACCAAATAAATACTTGACTTATGAATATTTCACATTCTTCATGTTAGTGCATTCTTTGTACTTTTGAGACCAGAATATTTCGAGGTTTTACCAAAAAAAGAGTTTCGTGATTCAACAAGTGCATTTTAAACACTCCAACTTTTTTTTTTTACACTGAGGCAGCCATATCTGAAAGAAACAATGTTGTGCTGAAGTTCCTATCTGCACTCTGATCATACTTGATAAATAAGAGGAGTGCTGTCCCAGCTGGGCCCTCTCACCTAACAGTAGACAAGAGATGGCTGATTCAGTATGAGGCCTTGCTCAATACAACAGAACAAGTAAAGGTTTACTCCATGCTGAAAAGAAGAATGCGAAACGCTGTGTCTCTTTTTTTTCAGCACGGAATAAACCTTTACTTATTATTTTGCATCCTATGAATGCTGACGCAGCTCCCTACTTAAACTTGATCAATACGGCTTTCCTAATCAACAGAGCTGATCACAATTATAAACTAAGAGTGACAAATTTAAGTTTACATGTAAAGGGTAATTGTTTTTTTTATTAAAATAATGCTAATATAACTTTTAAATATAAGCTAAAATAATGTATTTGCGGCCTCTTCAATGAGCTCTTGTGTATGAGCTAGTTCACCCACTTCTGTGTAGCTGTTCTTGACAGCTGAAGCATTTTCCTCAGCGTAGCATGGCACTGAAACGCGTAACCTCCACAAAGACAAGATTCCTGTACGTAACTCCTGAATTACATTATATTTCTGTTCCAAACTTTTGAAAGGCCACAGCCTGGGGAAGCCAAGAAAACTTCCTAACCTAATATTTTTGCTTTCCTGAACTGATGATTTAACAGACAACAGATGTTCACTTTCTTAGTTGCAACAGCATTTGCAGTAAAGCTCTGAGAAAAAAAAAAGTTTGTGAATATCTCCCTCTATTTTTAAGACTTTCATGTAGATTTTATTACGTTTTAGGTCTAAAATATACAAATATATGGACCAACCTAGGGGGTTCACAGACTTTTACTCAGCCCTGTACAAGAAAGACAAATCTGGCTGTCATCACGCTTCTGGGGGGGTCAACTTCTTCATCAGTGTCGACGAAGATGGGCTACTTGTACTGTGTGTGTTTAGTCTATGTGTTACTGTTTATTTCCTAACCTTTATAACACTTACAAAAAGAAAGTGGAGAAATCAACAGCTTGATTTATCAAAGAAAACACACACTCTTGTCATGTTTACAGCTTTCCTCATAAGTCTGACATCTTCTCCATCAAGGACTTTCTTGTACTATAAAAGAGGACATGCCTGTCTGTTCAGAGATGCAAATACAGTCAGTCTAGATAAGTACACTGAGGTCCTGATTAGGGACAGATACTGCATGTTCATTCACCCATCCATCCATTTTCTAATCCACTTAACCACCACAGGATATTGGGAGAGCTGGAGCCTAACCTGGCAAGAAATGAGCACCAGGCCCTGAACACACTGATGGAATGCCAGTCCAGCGCTGGGCACACACTCGCACACACTCACCTCAGGGCCAATCTTTCAGAAGACATTTAACCCACCAGTATGTTTCTGGACATGTGAGAGGAAATCTGAGCAGCTGGAGGAAACTCATAGTAACACGGGGAGATCCAGTACGAGCAGAAAAAATAAACTCCACCCAGACAGCATTCAAGGAACTGACCCCAGGGCCCCACCACAGTGAGGCAGCAATGCTAACCACTGCACGATTGTGTTACTGTACATTCTCCAAGAAAATTACTCTACCAGATTCAAATGTACACTGCCATGTTACTGTTCACTGTTAATTCATAAATCTCCTCTTCTTTCCCAGTATATTTGTCCCAAGAGAGGAATATTCTAATGGCTGATGAGCACTAGCAAATGGTGAGGACTTCAAGCCTTGCCCGAAGATGATATTAACTCAAGCAGAGCGATTCTCTGTGCTGGCTGTACCTGCAGAGCACACCCTCGTGCCACAGCCTCGTCTGCGTTCAGCGTGGTGCTGATGTCTTTACAGAAGAACTTGGAGATCCTGTCCTTGATGGCTGGGCTCCTGGTCCCTCCTCCCACCACCTCCACCGCGTAGATGTCCTCTCGTGTTAGCTCTGCGGCACAGGATGGACACTGTCTTGTCACATGAGCCAGACATTTTATTTTATTGGTGATTGGACCATTACCTATACACTCAGTGCAGCCTGCAGCAAAATTCACTTCAGGTACAGTAAAAATGTTTGAAAAGCAAAGCCCTGCAATAACAAACACGAAATTAGCTAACTGATTCACTACTGTACATCTAGAACATAAGAACAGTTATGTTTTACAACAGAGACATGGTCATTTAACACCTTCAAGCCATTCGGTAGTTAATAGCCAATTGATCTAAGGATATCTTCCAAACATGTTGTGAAATAAGTCAGGGTATTGGCTTCAAGCAATCTGCACTTTTAAACTTAATTAAATAGACAAGAAGGCAAATGCAATAGCCTTAAGTGCTTCTCCGGCACCATGATAAACCAACAGAGAGAAGTCTGCAAGAAAACAGTGTTTCAAATTTTGCACACTGTCCTCTCAGATCTTCACCTCACAAACAAATCTTTTCAATTAAACTACTCCCCTCCTTCCAAAACATTTTGAAGTCTTCTCTTGTTCTATAATTTAATGTGTAAAAGCAATATTCCCTAAGGCTTATGCATAACTTATGTTTAGCCAAAAAGTCTAAGAAAGAAAGATATTCTATAGCTGCTCTATCCACAATCCATCTACTGAGAAATGTGTGGCAGGCATCTGCTCCTGGAAAAAGATTAACTGTTTCTTAAAAAAGAGCCCAAAGTAATGTACAAATCAGGACCACAGAAATATCTGTTCAGTTCTTGCTCTTAGTTAAATTATTAAAGGCATTTGGAGACACGCTCAAATATTACATTGTTTACAGAGATTAAGCAAAACCAGAAAATGTTTGAATATGATTGTTGGGACCTGCTGCTGTAAACCTCACCAGCCTTTAAAGGCACATGCTCGGAAAGTCCGTTCCTTTTTGTTGCAATACATTCTAAAGTCCTGTGGGTCCTCGTTACAAGCCAATTTTATATTTAAAAAAAGGAAAAAAGATTTAAACTTTCACCTAAACTTTAGTCTACTGCCAAAAAAGCTATGGACGGCAGGTTACAGAATGTTACGAGACAAAAGTGGGAAAGAAACAATTCTGCTTATTTACTTAATAAACATGCTTTCTTTGTGCATTCAATTATTAAAGAGGGTAAATACTTTTGAAAAAGATTCACAGAGAAACAGGATTCTAAGGTGAAATGCTCTGGCCGGGTCAACTCTTTTCGACATCATTTCTTGTTCGAAACAAAGTGTAAAGCTGGAACAACAGGACACACAATGCCCCTGGTGTGGAACTTCATGTCAGAGAGCCAACATTAACACGAAAAGTGCTATTGACTGATTCCTAGGTACATGACTTTAAGTATGAATGCAAAATAATACAAAGAAATAAAAAAATCTAATTTTAATTTCAGTATAAATTCCCTCAACTTGAACTACACTTTTGAAAAGACATCCTTACATTTATTTTTGGTCTTTTTTATTGCTTCAGCACAATATCTGGATGAGGAGACCTCTCATAAACCCCTAGTTGCTTTTATTGTACCTTGCATCTTCAATCTTTTTTTTTATTATTTCTTTGAGTTACTTAGAAAACAGTGGGTGTGACAGCACAAAAAGACATCGCTGCTCTAAAACCAGTCCAAAGAATGGTTGCAAAAGATAATTCGTGGCCATAAATTAACAGTTTAAATACACAGGTTAACGGAAATTGTATCTCTTTAACTTGGAACAAAGGAGACTACATGCAGCTTGACAAAAGTATTTTAAAATCAAGAAAGACACTGACAAAGCCAGAAGGGTATCTCAGGACCAAGAGTGAACCAAGGACCTGAGGACACAGGTGGAGGCTAAAGAGAAGTACATTTAGAACTGAAATCAGTGTTTTTATACAAAGGGAGCTGGGAATCTGGAACTAACTCCTCAGCCGAACTGATTACCTGGAATATACCTAGAACAGGCTGGACGAGGTTCTTTTGCTAGCAACCAAATGAGCAACGTGGGCCAAATGGCCTCTCATTTATAAACTCTGATATATGTTTAAACCCTTGACCTATCTGAGCATGTGGAAGTAAGGAAGTCTGGGTCTATAGATCAGCTTACTAGCTTGCTCCATCGCCACTTTCAGAGGTGCTTCAATTCTGTCCAGGTAGCGAGCACACAGTTCTTCAAAATGAGCCCTAGAAAGAATAAGAGAGAGCCAAATATCATCCATCCATTTTCTAACTGCTTTATCCATTTCGGGGTTGTGGTGGAGTCAGAGCCTGTCCTGCAAGGCAGGGTATACCCTGGACAGCACGCTAGCCCATAACAAGGCACACACAGATACAGTACACACTCTCACCAGGGTCACTTCCTCAGAGGCCAATTAATCTACCACTATGTCTTTGGGTGGTGGAAGGAAACCGGAGTACCCAGGGAAAACCCACATTAACAGAGGGAGAATATGCAGTACGGTACAAACTTCAGACCGATAGCACCACAGGTCTGGAATTGAACCCAGGACCCCAGCATTGTGAGGCAGCAATACTAACCACTGCTCCACTGTGCTGCCCTATTTGTAAATATATATATATATTATTTTCAAATCAGACGCATTACTCTAAATGAGCAATGATAGCCAAAGTACTCAAGAATGTAAAGATACTGTACATCTAATGTTGGCTTTTCAAGTTCAATAATTCACATTTTTGGTTTCAACATATTCCTGACAATAGAACATCTCAAACAAGAAGAGTATAACAAAATGTGCATCATAATATTAATTAATTAATATTACAATTATTCAAAGATTAATATTTTAATGACCACAATTATTCAATTCTCATATTTCTATGAGTATTCCTATCCTAATTTCACTTCAAAATCAACAATAACAAAATCAACAAAAAATTCTACAGTATTCTACAGCTTGCATTACACCTTGGCAGTGAGTGTTGCAACATTTCTGACATTCTCACAAAGTAGGTAGAGTATCTTTCACAACTTAGAACACTGTAACTCAGTATCAAAAGAAAGTTTTCAAAAAGGGATGAACAGCATCAGTCCTGGGTTAAAAGGGAACTAAAACGCTATTTTTATATTTTGAGGTTAGAAAGAATTGCCACTCATCAGTTCATTTTAAACCACAATAAAAGTCAAATGTACACAGTAACATGTAAAGCCTCCAATTTACATCCCTAAAGAGACCACATTTCCAGGTATGCACAGTGCCATATTGCCGCCATTGTCTGTGACTCAGAACAAGGCAACAAAACTTATGGTGATGTGAAGCGACCCAAATACACTGTAAACAAATGGGCTTTCGAATACTTTTCTTTTAATCCAATAGAAATATAGCGGTTATTACGTTTTTAAATACTACTTACTTGGTAACTCTGCATGCAGATCAGGTTAGAACATTTCTGCGGTAAAATGTCTGCCAAACAAGCTGTACTTATTCACTTGTACATCACATTATATCAGTCATTACAAGGACTAGTGAGCAGGAAGGGTCGCGTTATCTCGCAGGTTCATGCAAACCCTCGCTCCTGCCCTTCGCCCGCAACCAGTGGGTTGCAACAATATGGCAACCATACAGTACTTTCACAAAGTTCACGATTTATGCTTAATTCCAATTTTTCTATAATGTCAATCAATTTATTTTGTCACAGAGATTTAATAACTGGTCTGAGAAATTGGGACTACTGTGACCCTTTAGCGCAAAACCGTTCAGCTGCGAGATAATCTGCGTGTCTCAGTGTTAGTTCTGCTCGAACCCAGTCGAGAAGCACGGCCTGGCTCTTTCAAGCAGCCAGGGCGGCCACGTCAGCCTGCGAGTGCGGCTCCATACCTGTTCATCTTCCCCGACACGTCGATGTCGTTCATGAAGCACTCGATGTTCATCGGGAGGTCGGAGGAGTTGGCGCTCATCAGTTTCTTTAGTTTCTCGCACTCCTGAGTGAGTCGAATCAGGGCCCTGGGGTTCTCCTTCACATTGATTTTGTACTTGGTCTTGAACTCCTCGCAGAAATAATCCACCAAGACTTCGTCGAAGTTCCTGCCTCCGAGGTAGGAATCAAAGGAGGTGGCGAGGACCTGAGCAGAGGCAGAGAGACGTCAAGGCGGGCAAAGGTGAACTAATTCCTCATGCCCAGGAGCCAGCCTCCCCCGAGGACAGGGCCGCACGTAGCGTGAAGGACAAAAGGTTTGATTTGCATTTGTATGAAGTGGGTACAAGTTTTAAAAAGGGCAATGTGATTTGCAATATCTGAACCCATTCAAATACATAAAGCAACCTGATAACACATGCTTATATCAACTCCTATGCGGTCTTGCTATTAAAATTCTTGCCGTGGTTGTATATGAATTAGACTAATCTGTCAAATGAACGCCGAGCAACAAAAGTCTCGTATTTCAACATGTAAAGTTTAGTTCACCTTCGCTGCTTTCTAAATCACTCTTCAAACTCAAACTATGATCATCACAATGTAGACTTTCAAAACTGTTTCCCACCTTGAGCTTGCCCTTGTTGAAAGCAGCAATGTTGACCTGGTATGATGAATGCCCAATGTCCACAAAGACGACATTGCGGGGCTTCTCCTCTGGGGTAGGGAGATCCTGCTTGTATATCCCATAAGCCAGAGCAACTGCACAAAAGCGAACAGAAGGACGCGAGAGTTAGGCTTTACAGTACAAGAAAACCAGCACCACAGAAACATCCTTTCAAAGGATGCAGGCATGAGGCTTTGAAAGGGTAAAGCAGGCAATATTTTCTTTTTTTAATAAAGAAACAATTTCATTTTTTAATAAGAGAATACCAGTGGAAGAACAAAGGCTTAAAGTGAGACAAATTCCACAACACTCACAAACTATTTTTTTTTTTGTTCCTTACACTTCAGACCACAATCCGAATCAGACTGAAGAGTACAGGCAGGAGACAGCTTTTCACCAAAGAATGGTGCCGTGCACAGAAACAACAGTGCAGAAAACTGCTTACTAATAGGTTCTTGAGTCAGTATGTTAGCACCTAAGAGATGACAGGATGAAAGAGACCTTGTGCCATGTTTTCCATTCCTGTTGTAAGATAAAATACAGTTTCCCCATTTTAAGTTTTTTGTTGGACAGAGTCAATATATTGCTTTAAAGGGGGAACTGCAGGCCCAAATTCCAAATTAAATACAAAATTGTGAACTTTGTTAAAGTAATGGATAGTTGCCAAATTGTCACACACCCCTGTTCTCACCACGGGTGAAAGCGAGAAGCGGCCCTTCCTGCTCACTAGTCACTGTACTGATTAATGTAATGTGATGTATGAGTGTATAAACACAGGTTGCACAGCAGACATTTCACCGCAAAAACGTTCCAACTTCCAGCATGCAGAGTTAACAAATATGTTGTATTTGTTAGCAAAACTGTCTCGAAGCCAAGAGCAACATTTCTATTGGATTAAAAGAGAAGTATTTACAAGCCTGCTTGTTTATAATTGAATAGAGCCACTTCATGTCACCAGACGTTGTGCTGCCTCATTCTAAATCGCTGTGCATACTTGAGAATTTATTTTGTGGTGTAAACTGAAGGTTTTACACATTACTGTGTACATTTTATTTTCATTGTGGTTTGGAATGCACTCATCAATGCCAATTCTTTCTTACCCCAAAATCACATTGCAATTCCCCTTTAACACTGTAATCTGTGTCTTATAATAATGAGACACACAGGTTCAGGCCATGTCACTGTGGTTAAGAATACTGAATCTGACATTGTTTCTCTGTAGCCACATTATGTAGTGACCCAGAGACTTTTATTGGTTAGTAATTATCTTTTGTCCCAAAGATCAAAGAATTAAAAAAACAACCCACCAGTTCAGCTTTTCCGAAAAGACAGATTCAAAAGAGAAAATTCAGCACTAAATGTGCAAAATTCAGCCTGTCCCAAATCTTGCTGTTGTGTGTATATATTTTGTAAATGCATTCCAAAACACAATTTATCTCATACCTCCCTGCTTCCATTGGTTTTGTGCAATGTAAAGCTAAAGAATGAGCGAAAACACTGAGCACAGCTGCGTTTGAGGACAGCCGAGCACAACTGTCAGCAGATGTTCTAAAAACTGTGTTACAGCAGAGATCTCTTTATATATCTCAGCACAGTTCAGACTCCTTAGGGGCTCAGCACAGATGACACAGGCATTCCCCCTCCAATGAACCTCATTATACTTGGGGCAGAAGGTAAAGAGATAGAGACTTGAGCTACGTGTAATCTCAGAGGGCCAATAACCTACTTTGGATGGTTCTTTTAAAGCTCAGCTCCTCTGCATTAAAATTACATATACGCTAGGGAGCAGTTACAGGGATGCCATGAGTCAGGACCGTCAATGACTTCTCGCAAAGGGAATTAAGAACCGTGAGGCAGTGGAAGACAACACAAGACTCGAACTGTACAACTCACCTGCAGTGGTGTCGTTTATGAGCCGAAGACAGTTCAGCCCAGCAATCTGAGCGGCGTCAATCACAGACCTCCTCTCTGCGTCTGTGAAAAAACTCGGAACCTGGAAAAGAAGCGCAGTCAAGGTCAACGGGTGGGACACAACTACAAGTAAGCAAGAAAATGCTGCAAATACGTAATCAAGGGCATCGCAACATAAGAAGACACTGGAAATAATGCAATGGAACCCAACCATTCATTAAAAGGTGTTGACATTAATGAAAAACACATTTTTTAACATACTACGGATTCTGTTTGTTGAGCATTTAAGCTACAGCCACGTACTGCAGTTGCATACTGTATGTTACATCGGAAACAAATTATAACACTCTCAGCGTGTAGTAAAAGGGGTCAGTTGATTGGCCTTAGCTAAAAGGAAGGTCGAAAGGCAAAGCAGATTTATAATTTATTCTTTCACTCTGACTGGACCTGGGGGAACAGGGGATATTGAATGGGCTACCACGAGGAGAATTAAGTGTTATTCTGAAATATAAACTTAAGAGTTTTTGGAGAAAATAGTTACAAAACTTGGAAGTAGGAATATTTTGATTAATCAACATCCTGTTTTATATTCTCCAATAGTTTTTAAAATATAAACCTGTAGTTTTGTGTTTAATTAAAATTACTCCAGCACAGAAACAAGTATTAGAGCTGTAATAAACATAACACTCTGTGTGCAAACCTTTATAGTTACGAAATGCTGGTTCACGTCTGAAGGAAAATAAATACCAAACAGTCTGTGGAGGCTGGTTATTCAGCACGTAAAGCTGCATAACATCCACAGACCCGGTATGTCTCAGCTAACTCTTCTTCTTATCACTGCAACCAGCCTTTTCTTTCAATGAAAGGAATGCCATAGGGCTCAACAGCCTTTAAATACGTTCAGTATAGCTGTTTTCCAGGAAAATGGCAAGATACTACAATCCCCCAACCTGTGAAATATGCTGATAGGGAAATGAATCATACTCACTGAAATGACACAGTCCGCCACTGGCTTTTTCAGCGCACTCTCAGAAGTCTCCTTCAATTTTGTCAGCAGCATCGCTGTCACCTGCTCGATGGTGAACACTCTGTCCTCATCCAGATACCTCACCTACAGGCAGAAAGACAACAGGAGGAGGAAGAGCTCAGGCTGTACCAAATTAATGGTGGCCAACTGTGATCCTCGGCTATTATAGGAATGCTTGAAATTGCCAGAAAGAAAAGACCTTGAAGCAGCAGCTACCCTGGCTGTTCCAATCTGAACACAGCAGCAGCTAAGCTCAGACAGGCCCATGCGTCAGGGGCAGCAGTTGTACTGTTGGCAGCCTACATGACTGCGCCAACCTGAAGGGGGATAGTGATGCTGCTCAGGTGGGTTCCCTGTTTTGTTTAATAATCCTCTTGAAAACAAGGTTAAACCAGGAAGCTTAAAAGGTCAAAATCTGACACCATGTAAAAGAAAAACAGTTTTTTCCCCAACATCAGAGGAAGTGAAAGAAAGCATGAAAAAAAACTAGGTGCAAAATTCATATTTACTGTACTGTGTTCAGAATAATAAATGTACTCGTCAGCCCCCTTTCCCTCTATTCTATGCTGAATTAACACAATACACAAAATGCAGAATTGAGGATAATGAGAACCTTAGAAAGGTCTGATCTTAATAACCCGCAATGAATTCAGCAGTGCCTCTGCAGTACATGACAACACTCTTTGTCCCGTAAGGAAGAACTCAGTGCAAACACCAGGCTAAATGTTTATTAAGACCTCAGAACAATGGCTGAGGACAGATCTGCATCTTAAAAAAGCCCAACAATGAAAGTTCATTTAATTACACGTCTGGGGCGCTGTTTTACTCCGTTCTCAAAAGCCATCCTGCACAAGCTGGCTGAAGGGGAAACTTAGTCAGCGATTAAAAAAGGAAAAGAACAGCTGAAGCTGCAGCAATCAAGAGGACTGAAATAATCCAATGAGCATTTAATTCATTCTCAGGCTTTCAGTCTATAAATACCAGGGGTGAGGAGGAAGACCTGAAGATGACAGGGCTCAGTATTGGTGGGGCTGAACAGCGGACAGGAAAACACTGTGCTGCAAATGCAAAAGACAACGAGTGGAGAGGACAAAAAGACAATATTCCGAGAACAGGATTCACAACGTTAAAGGAAATATTTTTAAAATTATGTAAAAGAATAAATGTGCTACGAGAAGTACCTTGGAAAACGTAATACAGAGGGGCTAAACTTAATTTAGCTGAAGGTCTCTGTTCTTGCACTGCAAAAGCAGCCAGCAGAAAGCTGACACAACACAACGGCATGGCTTTTAAAATGCGGCTTCGCCTCACGCTGCAAACCTTCTTTGTAAAGTCACTTTGCCACGAAAGAGGAAACAAAAAATAAACTACAAAGCGCAGAATGACATATCACTACCAAACTGTTAGTTCTAAAATGTATAAGAGGTCAATGCTCAAACCGGGAAGATGTAAATAGTACAGATGGGTACAAAGACCGTACTGTCCTTCCTGACCACCTTATTTCTATCTATAATCTAAATTCCGGGGTAGTTAGAAACTAATCAAGTTTACAAGACAATACTAAAATAGGATTAGAATTGGAGGAATCGAAAACACTGTAGTAACACCAAATGAAATTCTACAAGATTGAAATAAAATTAAATTCAAGATTAGGCAAATGTAGTCCAATGCAGAGAAGGTAGGGTGCTGCGTGCAATTAGTAAAACCAATCTATAGATACGAAATGGGAAACTGAGGTTGAAGAGGCTGCTTATGAAAAGGACTGTTAATGTTGACACATGATTTACCTCTCCTCAACAATGTGAGGGACCAGTAAAATGAAGTGTTAGAATATAGTTAACGTGTAAAATCTATATCAATAGGTGTTATGTTTAAAACATTATGTACAAATTTGGTCACCTGTACGGAAGCTTTTTTTACGCTTCTAAGAAAAAAAAAAGATTTTTTGTGTTAGTACGAGATAGTATTGCAATACACAAGAAACATTTTGTATTTATATGAGACAGTATTGCATTAAAAGGTGATAGTTAATTTGTGAACAATAGTGTCTATTAATATGTTACACTATATATGCAATTACATTGCCCAATGCAAAGTAACATTGACTTTAACAATAGACACTGTGACAATATTGTTCTGTTAAATTTTTTAATTAACTAGCGCATTTTAACACAGTTATCTCATATAAACACAATAAGCTTCTCATTTAAATGCAATATTATCTCCTATAAACATAATGCGTTTCTCATTTAAACAAAATACTAGCTTGTATAAACACAAAAAGTTTCTGGTTTAAACACAAAAAATATTTTTTTCTCCATGGTGCTTATAAGCTTCTGCACTTCGGTACACTTGTGCAGGGATCTGTCCAGATCAGAGAAGCCAGATACAGTCCCAGAAAAGTCCCATTCTGTATACTGACAGGCAGAAAGAACTGAATGTTTTTTAACATTCATGTTTCCTACAAAGGGACGTGATTCAAGTTTTCAACATCCATGAAGGCATTGACAATATTAACCCAAAAAATTTCAAAATGAACACCAAAACACACTAGACACACTTCTTTATGCAAGGTGTTGTGAAAGTATGGGATAAAATAACCAGCTATATTGTCAAAGCTCATACTTCTTTAAGGAAACTTCTAGAAGAGATTCTTAGATGACCAAAAATATTAAATTACTGAAAATATTAAGAACAATCTTACATACTGAAGACATTCTTTGTGAAATTAAATTTAGGAAATGTGAAGTTAAATTCAAGGGGAAAGAGATGTTAACTGAATCCAGACACAGCCTGGACAGGTGACTTTCCATGAAACACTGCCCAGGTTTGCTAATCTACCTATAGAGAAAACTGAATTATACGAAAGTTTTGAAAGTTTAGGAAAAGCAATAATATTAATGCCAACTGCATTGTTACTAGAGTGACGCTAATTACAAAATATTACAATTAATCTTTCAAGGAATTGTACCAAGCTACAGCTGTCCACAAAGGAACAAGTAGAGGTTAATTCCATGCTAAAAGACATAAAGAAGAAGAAAAAAGGGTTGATGAAAAGGCAGGAAGGAGGAATGGGGGTAGGTAAGGAAGCTGACGCAGCTCTTGTCTTCAATCTCTATTCCTCTTGTACGCCACTCCTGGCATTGACAAACACTAATTAAAATAACACTTGGACATTTCCTATACTGCTTTTATCCCTCACAATGACCAACTAACACAGGCCACTGTCTGCTGGGGAGTTTGGCCTGAACTCCAATCTTTCATATGCCTGGGTTAGACGTTGTTGAAACAAGATGACAGATGTGTCATGGTGGACTTACAATAAACCAAAATACCTAGATAAGAAGACAGATCAAAGACAGAAGGTATTTAATGGTAATTAAACAATGGTAAAAACAATGGTACACGTGCGGTTGTTTTAATGGTAAAAACAATTAACAAATAGTAAGCACCTTCCTATTTTCAAAAGGGAAAAGGAGCCAATCACCTCCAACCCTGGCTTTGAAGATTTGCTTCAACAACAGCAAGAGCAACAGTATAAGTGGCCATGGCATCAGTGTGATTATTTACTTTTACTCTACTCAGATTAGCATTACCAAGTAATGCATCTCGATCCATTTCAAGTTGGATCCAAAACCACATATTTTAATAGGTTCATCACTTCCAAAACATAGTTTTAGGTTATTGGTTGCAATACTCTTTTCATTCAGCACAATTTATGGAAACTCTTCTCTAGCCTCGTAGATTCTGTTTCCAAAAATATCCATTCTGCCTGGGGCTAAACGCAGATAATGGCTTGATCAGCCTGCACGTTTTCAGGCAACTGAAGCCTGTAACAGACAATACAATTCAAATCAGCAAGGGTGAACTGGACTCTCGATCAGAGCAGCTTCATTCTTAAAACAGGTCCAGAGTGGGACGATAAGGCCAAAACTTTCACTAAACATCGAAACACCACCAGGAACAGCTGATAAAATCAGGCAGAGACCATAGCGTGGCTGAGACAACACTGCATTTCATGGTCAGCCCCCTCTATTTGGAAAACTTCAAGTCCTATCCCTGATAATAGAACACAAAACACTGAACAGGAGAGTAAACAGCAAGTTAACAGGGCAACAAATGCCAAGTTAGTCCAAAGGGGGAAGAAACAGTGGAATAAGAACAACAGAACACAAAGTGCAGTTGAAAACAGGAGCTCTGGATTTCAAATCCTCTAAGGAAAGAAAAATCAATCATCTTCACTGATCAACTGAATTATGAAAGAACAGAAGGACAAATCTATGCCAGTCCCTTGTTAATTCAATGAATTTGGCCAACCTATCTATAGTACCGTGGATGTGCTGGGGATTTTAGAGCACGGGCCCCCAGTGTGCAGCATACTGTCCTCATGGCCAGCCTGTAGAGCTGCATCACTGTTAAATTAAGAGCTTGGGATTCTTCTGTGGTCTCCAGCCAACCCTCTCGCCCAAGAGCACAGCTGTTCTGCTCCAGCACCGCACACCGACCTGTACAGTATTCCTGCAGCTTACTCACGAGCTGCTGTCCAGCACTACCACTAATATCCTGCCAATGACATCAGCTCAAACTGCCCAATGCCCCACACGTGTTACACAGGGGTATCAAAACAATATCACACACATTCATTCTCCTAAAAAAGGCAGCTGAACACCCATTCAATGCCCGATTTTTTAACATTTCTAGCAGAGCAAACTGGTGTGCCAGGATATACAGAAAAGCCCAAGAGCTGGGCTCCAAGATTTCCACTGCTGCACCATATGCACTATAATGGAGCTTCATAAGCCTCAGTGAAGCTGAATCCTTTAGGACCCCTGTAGACCTGGGTTTGGTGAATAACAATGCCCGGCAATTACAATCACAATTCCTTAAATATAATTTTCATCCCAAAGGACTCCCAGCACTTTGAGACACAGGAGGCACTGGACGCTGCACAGCTGCCATTATGCAGGCCTGGGGCATGGCAGATCAGGTGGAGAAGTGAGAGACTACTTCACTAATTTAATTAAGATTGACGAACAGGGAGGCCAAAGTGTGTGCAAAACCAAGTGATATTTAGTTAGGACCCAGGAGTACATAACCCTACTCTTATGAACTTCGTGGGATATTTAATTTAGTCCCAATCTGGGACTGGTACATTGCTTCGGAAGCTCTGGTCCAGAGGGAAAAATGTAACTCACTGGCCCTCAGACACCATTTACGATAGAGACTTCGTTTTGACGGTCTCGTGTCCCAGAATTGAACCAGGACGGGGCAGATTGGCCCAACTGTCTCTTCTTACTCACAGGTTAATATTCCTGACAGACTAGGTATCAGGCATCACAGCTCCAGAAGTTAAATAAAAAAAACGGCAAGTGCCTTTTAGTACTATTTGAAACAGATCATTCTTGGAGCAACACATTTTCCGCCCTCTTTTTCCCTTTTCATTGCAAAAACTCAGGAAATCATTGTTTTGGGGTTTGGATAACTTTCAGAGCCACAGCCAGGGTGCATACTGTATTTTATGAGCACTTCATCACATTCTGCATTCGGAAACCAGAAAAAAATAAATGCTGATTCAGAAATCTAAAATTTTGCAGGCTTTTGTCGAATCAAAGTTCAGTGCGATTCAGTTCAATGTATGACATTAATTACATTCAGTGCTATCATGTGATAAGCTTTGTTACAGACTTAAATTGCAAGCATGTCACTGCACTGGGGGAAAAGTGACTCATCTGATCTGTGCATGTTGAAGGGTCACATTTAGAAACAAAGGATCTGGCTAGCAATGTTGGAGAGAAGTATGTCAACCGGCTGTACTGAATCTACGAATTAAATTGAGTCTCAAAAGTTTCTGAAATTTGCTGGTGACAAAAATATATCAAAGAAATGTCACCCACATGCCAGTGTCAGAAAGGAGATCCTTTCTGGCAAAATTGGAGAATTCCAGGTATTACCGCATGATATGACTAAACAGTCAAAGGGCTTACCAGATATTTTAAAAACTCAAATATATTACCAGGATAGTATGCCTGCAATTTAAAGAACAGTAACGTCAACTGGGAAAAAAACACCACAATTTCAGTTTCAAGTTATTCTAAGAAGTGTTTACAGGCCAAATAACAAATATGGATTTCAAAACAGTGTTATTATGAGCCTTGAAATTAATTGTTTTATATATTATACAATGGAACAGTTCAGGGAAGAGCTGCGTCAGCATGTGTAGGCTGCAAAGGAACAAGTAATAGGTTTATTCCATGCTGTAAAGTATGAGAAGAGAAGAAAGAGTGTGACACACCCGAAGAAGGCTCCACGGCCAGAAACACTGTGTTTCCTTTCTTCTCTTTTCAGCATGGAATAAACCTTTTACTTGTTCATTATACAATGGAATACTACCGAGCTACTACTCCTACAAAATGTATGCTGTCTTTCTCCCTAATTCTTTTAAAATTCCGAAGTAATGAAATGTAATAAAGCAAAATTACCAGTGTAAATGACAAAGGAATGTGTATTTTGGTTGCTAGTTTCCAGTTGCTTACTGTAAACTGATCTGGGATGAGTTAGGTCGATTTATCATCGCCTCACTTACTCACACCACGCATTCCAGACTACACTGCAATAACTCAGTTTCCTGTATATTTTATCTAAAATAATTTCACGTATCGCTTTTCATAAAAGCCGTACAAGCTGATACAGTGTGCAGCAGCCAAGTATTCATCTATATTTCACTCATATGGAATGCCTGCCTGGAGGGTGACAGTAACATTAGAATGGGTTCCTTTGTAGATCATGTTTTTTCTTTGATATGTAGTAGAAAGAACCTAAATGACACAAAGTCAAAGTCAAAGCACCATATAAGCTAAACAACCTGATTATAGTACAATAATGTTCATTAAACATAAACATAAATTCATAAGCGTAAAAATGATGAGAGGCTCCATGTGATCCATCTTCTCAAAGGGCCAGCATGCTTTTAGAGCCACAGCCACAGCCACAGCCACATAAAACCAATTGTGAAGACGTGCAACACACTTAACAGACGATGCCAAGAGGAGAACTGATATTTTCTCGTTTCAAAGCACTTTAAAGAGCTTTGGATTTCCGGGTTCCATTTTCTCTTTTCTTTCTTTCTTTCACAGGCTAACACAGAGATGAAGACGACGCTCCAGGCTTCGACACACTTATCAGGCCCAAAGCGCCAGTAAAAGTTAGGAAATGAGAACCAACCTCTCACTGGTAATATTACAAGTTCACAGCCACCTTACAAGCCACAGGGGTCACTTCTATACAGCACCCCAAAAACACCCAGTTCAACTCAGACCCACACAGCCAACTATATGCTGCTGCTGCTGCTTGGGGAAACCAGCATAGAGAGAAAAAAGAGCATAAACTAGACTAAGAAAAGGGCTATACTGCAACTATCACAGACACTATTCTAGCATAGCATATATCTGCAGGTGCCACTGAAATAATGTGCTTTGCTTTCTGGTAACCTGCAAAGTGCAGACTTCGTTCTAACCTGCGTACCTAGTACCTTGTCTTCTGAGAGCATCCTGAGACAATACAGATGGAAACTTAAATAATGTAGCTAGGAAGTACAGATAACAAGCAAACAATCACTTTTTTTCTTGGTCTCTCAGAACACCTACTAGGCTGATTGCCTGCATTGATCTAGTCTTTTCAACACAGTAAAACACATTAAGAAAACAAAATGCGAGATTACCATTAAGGAACTGTGATAATAATGTGGTACTGATATATACTGAGCATAATGAAACATGTATGTCTGTTCTAGGAATAATAAAAACATGGAAAGTGGATATTTAACAAATATTTTGGCATAATTTTGATAACTGAGCATAATACAATTAAGTGACTCCGACACTCGCTTGAGCACAAAACCACGTTATTACTGAGAGAGCCGATAGGGCTGATTAGGTGTCAAGCCTGGTGAAAGTTAAGGAAGGAAAGATCCATAAACCTCTCTTGTCAAGAGAACATTACCACATCTCAATGGACTCACCATCTAATTTTCGTTAGTGATGCATCAAGGTTTTGTGTAGATGTAGAACAACCTTACAGCAGTGGACATCAGTGAGTGTGGAACAGATATACTAATAGCTGGGTACCAGAGACCCATCAAAGGGTAGGTACAGTCTGTTATTGTGCGACTCCAATGGCAGTGACTGATGGCAATCTGACTGCTCGGCTGACATGACAACGCTACAACATGTGAAGGCATGTCCTCGGGACAACAGGGACTCATGGGACAACAGCCTCCTTGCAAGATGAGAAAGTGACATTTAAGGATGCTCTCCATGCCAGACTTGAGCTGGAGGCTCTGGGACCTTTGTGGCATCTAGGGCTCAGAGACCAGTGAACAGGCAAACTGGTGCAAAACCATTCCACCCAGTGGCCAGAAACAGCCAGGAATGCTTTTTTATCAGAGGACCGCTATACAGCTCTGAATTTGCTTGGCACATGTTTATACCAGCTTTGTTCCGCCTTCAAGCTGTGCTCTGTTCTGTACACAGCCGTGTCACTCATCTCTAGTTGGGAACAGCACCAGTGGCAGAAACAACGTGCTTTACGCAAGCCAACCAGAACATTAAAGCAAAAACCTGCATTTCTGTTCAGTTGGTAACATGAATTTGGATCGGCGAGAAGAATGGATTTTTTAAATTAGTTTGCCACTAGAATTGATTTTTCGACTCGAGGGACTCCAGCTGGTCATATTTGACAGCTCCCTTACTGACCCGTCAAGTGGAACTCGGGTTTCTCAGCCTGTACATCCTGTGATGTGCAGGCGAGCTCTCTGTGTTAGATGATAAAAAGGCACTGTGGACTCCAAACCCCAGCACCTGAGCACCCATCATCGCCGAAACAGCCACAGCAAATTATACAGAGCTTATTCAAAAAATAAAAAACAATGGTCAAATTATAAATGAAGTGAACGACAGACATTTGAGAAAAAATAACTGTTAACATTCTGAAGGTATGTACGTTCAAAATACATATAAGACAACTCTAGAAATAATCAATATCCGGACTCTCACCAAATGAATGCCCAGAAAACCACAAGGTCATTATGGATTAAAAAAAACAGAAAATTCATTTGAGCGTTGAGCAAGTTATCCAAATTGTCACATTTAGGACCGTGGAGAATAATGAACAAGAAAATGTTAATTGTGGGCAAAAGTAGAAAGAAGAAACGCAATGTTTTGGCTGTTGAGCCTTCTTTAGGTGACACCTGAGGCGTGTCTTTGCAGCCAAGGCACAAAGACACAGCTCCCCACTTGAGCTACAGATAAGAAATTACTACTTGCCTTATAGGAAAGAAGTCTAAAAGAGAAATTAAAGAGCAGGGAAATTATCAGCAGGGAGTCAGCCATACCTGAGACACTAACAACAAAAGGTCTATTATAGCAGAGCATTCTTAAGTTCAAGATCCCAGATGTGATGGGCATCTAACCCATTTCTGTATATACAACTGGCCAGACTTAACATCTGGCTTTGAACCCACAACCAGAGGGAGACAGAAGAAAGTACCTTGATTCCAACATTGCCATTGGACATCTTGTGCAGGGTGTAGGGAACCTTAGATCTCTCTGCCTGCACAATGGGGTCGTCGAATGCTCGGCCATGGAACTTCTTAAATCCATGGACTGTGTTCTTGAAGTTTGTTATCATCTGAAAAGTAATACATAAAGAGAGTCAGGGAAAGTAAGTGAACTCATGAAATGTCACCCACAGTTTTGAATTAAGTACAGTGGCTGTCAAGAGGAATAGGCAAAGCTGGTAGAGACTGATCCATGAAAATCCATGGCTACTACCAAATATTCACTTGGGAGGTATAATACTTACGCAGTCAGTTGATTTCTGTTTTATATTTATAATTAATTAGGAGGATGAGCAGACGTTGTGACAAAGTGTTTTGTCTCAATCATTGGTAAAAAAATCCAATTAAATACCATATTCCATATTGTAACACAATAAAATGTGAAAATGTCCCTGGTGGGGGGTGGGGGGTGGGGGGTGAATACTTCTGATAGTTCTTTCTGGATGACAAGATTTTACAGCAAATTTTCTACCAACACATGAATCAATAACGTCTAGTTTAGTAAATAAAACAGCCCTGAAACCAGCAAAGCTTGAGACCCTGTTTCCCTCTGCTCTCAAGATGATTTCACAGCCTGATTTGTCAGCTGAAATGAATCCAACTAACCTGTAGCTTTAAAGCTGTTTTATCAAAATATCCTGATGAGTAATTTAAGAATAAGGAACCCACTCAACTGTTATCAACACTGGAAAAGGGAAAATGAATAATTGGACACATCTCAAATCCATCTTTTTATATACAGTTTATATACTTTTTTTGGCTTCTCATCATCCATTCTCTCACACTTCATTCCATAAATCAAAATGTTCAATTAATGCATTTCTCCCATCTTTTACCAGAAAAAAAAGTATTTCTTTTTATTAAAAAATGTTTTTGGTATCTAAAGTACCAAAGTAAAGCACTTGTATCACACCCTTCAGGACCTGAATGTTTTTCTCACCTGGCTCTTTGCTGCATTTCCAATCGAGCGGTTTTTGGATGCCAGAGACACACATGCCCTGGAACAGAAAGCCAAAACAAATCAATACTCAATTAAAGAATCCCAGCCATTACAGCCTTTACAGCAGGCGTTCTGCACTTTGAATTTGGAATAGGATTACAGCCCATTAAGACTTTTGCTTGTCTATGTTCATACTCAATGCACCCGAGTAGTTTGCAGATATTTCAAATTTTAAAACAAGGATCCATGTTCAAAATATACAGATGGAATTCAGTAAAACTACTCCTTCATGGTGGGAGCTGTTAGGTGAATTATTTGAATAAGATCCTACAGGCTTGAATCTCAGCTGTGACAATTTTAGTGATCTACTGTAGGTAGACCAGCACACACATAGATGGGACTCCAGTTTCCTTGTGGTTTAGAGGTGTGTTGACCTCAATTATTCTGACATTAAATGCCAGCTCCTCTCATCAGCTTCATATACCTGGGGAGGAGATGTGAGGATATCCACCATCAATCAGTCTTATCTAGTGTGGAACATGAAATTAAAGTTGGACATCCCTAATAATGAAAGAACAGAAAACACTCCATTTCACATTTAGAAATGATAAAAAGGCAGTTGACAAGATTAGCCACTTTAACCACAAGAGGGTATGTCACCAGATAATTACAAATCAGTGTTAGCTTCTTACAAGAGAGTGCATACTAGAATGTGATTTGTAATAAAAAGGATTCCGGATGAAAAGGTTTAATGGCACCCGTTAGGTCTGTATTAACGATTAGAAGGTTTCACTACTAATAGTAAAAGTCAAATAAAAAAGTATGAGGTATTTAATTTTATATAAAATTCAAAATGATTTTTTATTTTAATTATTAATATTTCATTTAGCAAAAGGATGGAAGTCAAGGTCAATTAGACTGTTTCTAAAATCAACAGTTACTGAAGAAACCAAGACTGAATATTCCCCCACAATTTTCCACAGGTGTCCGAGTGACAGCGAGAGGGAACAGTCTGAGTAGGACTGGGATAAACACCAGGGCAGAGAAGACAGAGCATTGTCACTAGGAGACAAGACATATCAGGAGAGCAGGACATGGGTACCGAAATCCCGGTAGCTGTAATTAGGTCCCTAAAGGTTTTACTGTAGTAGGAAGAAAAAAAAAGTTTGAAGTGCACCTTTATCTTCATGAAGCTACAGGAAAAGCCCTTTTAATTAAGCAGCACAACTGAATGATAAGTCTCATATGGCAAAGTTTCATCCTTCTTGATGGTATGTTCACAATGCGCTGCAAGCCACAGTCCATAAGCAGACTCCACTATCCCCCTATCAACCATACTGGCTACCAGAAGGATATGAATACATGAATAATACTTGTATTTACTATGTAAATAATGTATGGACGTTTTTACACATCAGGTTGCTTTTATAAAATACTGCCTTCTAGGTCACAATTGTGAATTACCAAAGGCCCTTTTCTGAAGAACCACAACCAAGCACACTGCTACAGAGGTATGTTAATACAGTACATCCCCTCAGCACAGCAGTTTCCCAGACATTTTCGAAGCGTGGCCAATTCTGAGGATAAAAAATATTTAAAAAATTGGTGCCCTACTGTATATCTAGTCTCATGCATCTCCTCCCGGTTTGCCAACAAGAAATGCAGATTAATAGCATGGATGTTTTTCCATTTAAGAGGAAGAGGTTTCAAAAACTGAGAACAGTTCATCTTAAGGGGTTATGGGGGTGTGGAACAGGCGACCCAGCCGTGCTGTTGAAATCGATACCCTGTCTTATTTCAAGAAAGAGTGTGGATGGGTCCCTTGGATCACTCAACTACTAACTACCGAATGGGCTACAGGGGTTGAATGGCCTCGTCTCGATGGTAACCTTCGGTAAGTGGATGGTAGATCATTTAAAAAAGGCAAATTTCAGAATGAATACTTTATAATAATAAAACTTTGGGGTCTCGCCAACCAATGATCTATAAAAGGAATGTATTCATTGTTTTGTTTTCTTCCTTTGTTTGGCCTAATAATTACCAGAAACGTTGAAGAAAGTGTCTGGTTTGGCCGATTCAAGAGTGATATGAAGACTTACAGCAAAAGAAAAGGCAAGATTCTGGAAAACATAATATAGTATTTTTAGATACTTTTTGACCCTCAGGAGGAGTTTACCTTTTCACATGTAATAGGTGAAGTATTTGTTTACAAAACCATACTTTTGGCAAAGAATAAATCAAGAAGTTACTTAACCTTTTTTGAATTAATGTCTGAATACCTGTTAACACAGAAAACAGAAACACCTGGAAAATAATGCATATGAATAAAAGTATTTATCTCAAGTAATGTATTCGCATTTTAATATGAGTATTAGATTTGTTGGGGAGTTCTCAAATGTGTACCATCTTTACTTTGCATTCTTTTTGTTGTGTAAAATTCTTGTTCTTTGGTCCTGTAAATACTATATAATGTAATGGATGCATTACGGGGCTGAAAAAAAGTTACATTCTTAAAAACAATGTGATTTATCTTTTTGAGGACAAAAGTATGATCTGCACTTGTGTGTTTTTTAAATAAACCAGTGAATTCCTTCAATCTTTCAGGCATCTAGTGATTCAATTCGACACATACTTAAAACAGAAAAATAATAAAGGCACTGGAATATACCCCCATGTACTTAGAGCAGACATCCCAGCCTTTCAGACACCTGCAAGAAGTAGCCTGGTTTCACAGCAGAGAAACATCACTTGTTTAACTGTAAATGACTATTTTATGATCAGCACATCGTATTGTAACCAGATTCAGAACTGAACATTGTAATGAGTTCCTGCTGACAATTTCCTAAATCGTCCTCATCCGTACCACTCTTACTCTAACTTGGATTATCAATAAAAAGGGCTAGAGACATCTCTGCTAATTTACAGTCCCGATTCTGAAGACAATATATATAATACAGTTATACAATGACAATACAGGCTTGGAAGCAACCGAAACATCAAAAATAATTGCTTTGAATAACATCATTATCACTCCTGATGGAGGTGATGGAGGACACAGAGCCATTCTGGGGTAAGCTTGAATAACACACTCTACACAAGTCCCACAAGCATAATCCGATTTAACAGTAAGGAAGGCTGAAACGTAGCTTCCTTCCTCAAATCCTTCCAGAGTAAGCCAGATGAAGAATCATCCGTAACATCTGCAAATGTTACTGTACCAGAGTTCTCGGTGTATAAGGAACCTGTGACAGCAGCACCAGGTTGTTTTAACTGGTGCAGTATTGCTGCTTGTTTGGGATCAGCAAATCTGGAGCTCAATGAGGAGCCTTAGCTCAATTCTGTGTTTGACCACATAACACATTCCTTTCCTGGCATCACAAGGCAGGGGGTGGCTGGATGTCTTAACGGGCGTGGTGCTAGCAATTGTAAAAACAAAACGTTATTGCCAACTTGTAAATGGTGCGAAAGCAAAGAAGGAGATATCCTCTCCACACCCGTGAGAAACAGTATGACCTTTGTTTGCATGAATCTGCTGTGACTCAGTACAAACATGCTGGCGGAGCCCACTTGCACGTCTTGAAAAATTATTTCTTATCAGCTGACAAGAAATCCAAACCCCCCAGCAGTACTCCTGATTGTAGGTAGTGTGGCACATGGCTTGAGTATGATGTCAACTAAGCACTATGCATTTCAGACGTTCTTCACAGAGTGTGTTTGGAACATTTCAGATACTTGAGAATTTTACTGCATGGCTAACACAGTCTCCAATGAACAGCTAATTGGCACATCTTGATAGATTTGCAGTCTGCAATAATACAGAACTCTTGGGTACTGGGTGTCTTACTAATCTCTAAACTTAAGCACAGAAGGCAGTTGCTGGGCTTTTAAAAAATCTAGAAAATGTATGAATTGCTAAGAAAAAGATTAATGTGACAGTCAAGACTCCAGTTAACAATGACAAACCTTTTTATACATGCATAAATGCCAGAAGACTGATACCTGCCAGAAATAGACTCACCTGCCCCACCAAATACTGCCTTACAGCCTGTTAGGTAATTTTCAAATACACTTTTTCACATGTCAGTGAAGTCAATGTAAATTTTTCCATCACCCTCTGAGTTATCTTCCAGAAAAATTGAAACATTTCTTTTTTTGTATCATTTCCATACACCTGTTTCCTGTCAAATGTTACACTGTATATGGTCTGCAGTACTTCACGAAGTATGGAAAACATTTAATTTCAGAGAAGCTTCACTTTCAGTCCAATTCAACTGTTAAGAAAGATGATCACTAATATAGTATGTGGTCCAATCTCTTTCCCAGTCCTTAGAAACCTCTAAATATAGGTACAGTAAGGGCAATGAGGGGATTAAGATGGTACTACAATGTGATTATCCAAGAGTTGCATGCCTCTAGTCTTAAGTTTTTAATGGGACACTTCCATGATACTTAGCCAACATTGATGGAAATCTTGGTAAAACTAGACAACAACCTCAACAAGGGTCAGCTCTGATGGTTAGAATGACTTCATAACAGAAGGAGAGGTGTCTAACGGGGTACATAAAGAAGGCAATATCCACAATTCCCTTTGACTACAATACTATATACAGTATATACAATATACATCAAACCACACTGTTTCAAAAGCTGTGTCTCCATTTCGGTAATACAGACTGGGTCCCAACCTTTTTGGATTGTAGTTTACAATGCTGGATTTATTCACAGGTTGCATCTATGTTTCGAAATGACAAACAGCTTCAGCCTTAGCTCCCAAATCTAACATCTATTTAATGAAAGGGACTGAAAGTCTAACAGGATGCAAGTATAAAAAGTGAACTGAAGGCTATATCAGACCCTTATTTTACCCAGAGAATCTAACCTGGGATGGAAGTGAACTGTGACCTCAACCTGAGTGAGATTCTATGGTGTGCACACACACAGTCCAATGAAGCAAGCGATTTTAGCTTCTATGTACCGTGGGATGGGAGACGAAAAAACTTCAGCCTCCTTCCAGGGCCAAAACATACCTTAAAAACACAACGGCGAGAATTCAGTACA